ATATTTATGTGGAAAAAAGACACAGGAAAGATATGCAGAGATGCAGAATTGCAAACATATATTAAACTACAATGTTGTTTGGGGGTGTTTTTTTTATGTTGTTTTTACTGTTTTTGATATAAAACATTGTCTATCTTTATTCCTTTTCAGAATCGTGGGGGACACCAGAGTCAATCACAGCTATCTACGGGTACACCGGGACAGTTCCCCAGTCCATCGCAGAGCCACATATAGAGAACAACAACCACTTCTTAACTCACATTCATAGCTATGTTCAAGCATGTTTTGAGCTGTGGGAGGAAGCTGGAACACCTGGAGAGAGGGGGGAGGGGGGCTGGGGAGGGAGAGGGAGAGGGATGGGGTAAATGATGTCACTGAGGCTGCAAAACATTTGTGTAAAGATGAGACCAACTGAAAGCATAACAACTATAAACCAAAACTACTATTTCACCACAGAGAAGAATGTTCATAGGAGGGAGAGACATATAACCCAAAGAACACAATCCTCACAGTTAAACCATTTTCTTTGGCATTTAGCACTTAAAGAAGGGAACACCTTTGTGTTAGACATTCTTTTTTTTTTTGCAAAACCATTCTATTTTTTTAAGTGAATTATGTTTTGGAAATGCTATGTTGAAAAAAAAAACTAATATCTGAATAATTTGGTTCGTTCTGACACAGTTTTGTGCTCAGCACTGTTTCCGTTGTTAATGTTGCCATTTATTTTTGTACATCGGGTACAACCTCCGAGAAAATATCATTTATCTCTTGGTAAAGAATCAATGCTGTTATGTCTTATTAGGTCTTAGGTTCATATTATATACTTGGGTGTCATACTTGCTTTGTCCTGCCCTCTTTAACATCATTGGATACAGCAAAAACATGTCTGGTAAGTATTTTCTATCATTTCTCTGCCTTGTTGGGTTTCATCTCTATTAAGCTTCACTTTGTCTCCACGACTGGACAATGGGTCAAATCTTTGAGCACAAAAGCCTTAGAAAGACAGGTATAATAAAGGGACAGGGATTTGTTTTGCTTTTGATGTGTTTTTTCCCCGTGTACTAGGTCAGACGGTGTGTGTGAGACAGTTAGAGAGTTGGTGGACAATGGTGGAGAACAATGCCAGTGACAGGCACAATATAAAAGAGGCCAGAGCATTCTCAAGCTATACTGTATGTCTCGGTATGATAGGAGTGTGTGTGAGGGTGTGTGTGTCACTGTGCGAATGCTGGGCTTGGACTGTTTTCCTACCTAACACGGTGAGATGAGTTTGGATTCCATTGAATTTTTGTGATTTCTGTATTATTCTGAGCTCATTTTCAGCCTGCGGATTAGGATAGCTGCTAGAAACTGTTGGTTTGATCATGAAAAGTTGTCTCTTTTACTTTTTAGAATCTAACTTTTGTGTTTCAAAGTACATAAAACCTCTTGATAACTTTATATAAAATTGTATTTTTCTAAAGGTTTTGACTGTAAGGTCTATTTCTTAGCATTGTACTGTAGATGCCAAGAGCAAGAACACACTATATTTGTTAAATATTAAATTGAATTTGACTTTTATTTGGTTTATTTGAAGCCTGTTTGTTTTCCAAAGCAAAGATTGTCCTTTAAAACTTTTCTAAGATAACTGTTACTGTGTCTTACAGCGAAGACAACACTGTAAATGTGTGTAGAGACTTTAACGTGTACAACTTCAGACAATTAAACACTTTTTTCCATCATCCATTTTGCCTTTTAGCTGCTACAATGAACCTGAATCCGTCTCATCACCTCTCGCTGCTCCTTTTACTTGTAATAAACCTCAAAGGTGAGAAAGAAACACATCGACTCTAACGGTTTATGAAACACGGGTTTTAAGTCACTCCTGTTATGTCAGGATATTTCTGGGGGGAAAAATGTTTGTGAATACTTATTGTTATACACTTATTATTTGTTTTTGTTTTGTTTTTTTATTAAAAGTTTTGACGTAAAAAATGTTTGTGAACACTTTTCGCATTTTATTTGTTTTTGTTTTGTTTGTTTTTTTATTAAAAGTTTTGACGTGTCGGAACCTCTGTCCTTGTGTGTCCAACCAGTATCCTTGCTTTTTACAGGTGCGTATGGGAGCAGGATCATTGGTGGAGATGTGGTGTCCCCCTACACCATCAAGTACCAGGCCTCCCTGCGCTTCTTTAGTAGTCACTTCTGTGGAGGCATCCTCGTCCACCCTCAGTGGGTGATGTCTGCTGCCCACTGCTGGCGGCCGTAAGTTACTGCACCATTACATTCTGGTCCTCTGTGATGAATTAATGTAATGGTTCTCAAATGGGCCACACGGTGGTAGATGTTGGTCTGATGCAGCACGGGGATAACTGGTGCGCAGGTTCGATTCCCGATTGATTACTTCATGCAGTTTGCTCTTGGCACTTCGGACAAAAACATGCTTGATTAGGGGGGTTAGGTTGATAGGTGTAAATGTGAGTTAAAAAGTGGTTGGTTGTCTCAATATGTGGCCCTAGGATGGACTGGCGAACTGTCCAGGGTGTACCCTGCCCCTCACCCATAGATAGCTAGATAATCAATGGATGGTTCTCAAATGGGGGTATGTGTGCTCCTGGGGGTACCTAGGTGCTACTTCAGGGGGCATGTGATTACATATCTTTTACTGTATATATGTTTACTATAAACAGAATACACTTTAATAAGTGAATCACTGTCATCCTCACAATATATTTAAAAGAGTATTTGAAAGAATATATGAGTTGAAATAAGTTATTTTCTAGTGTTAGTCTTTACTTCCATATAATTCGGTTACAGTTTCAAGGTTTTTAATCCAGACATAACTGACACAGTGCTTTGTTTTATGTCTTTCTTTGGCCCTTGGCTGACATAATATACAACAGGGGGCTGATTAAATAAATTGTGAAAACTAACGTTGGCTTCACTGCACTCTTTCAGGACGTACTTCATCCAAGTTTACCTGGGAGACCATGATATCACAAAGTGGGAAGGATACGAGCAGGTTTTCAATGTCATATTCATCATCAGACATGGACAGTACAACTACTTGACCTTTGACAATGACATCATGCTGCTTAAGGTGAGACTATAGTTAAATGAGGATGCAGCTCCTTGTAAAAATAATGCATTTATTAAAAACTGAAGCCTATAACTGTAAAACTTCCCCAATGTTCTATCCTGTATAAGCAACATTTTTGATGGTACTGACAAAAAATGAATTCTTAAAGTGAGCAGTGATACTGGAAATTCACACAAATAACATAAATGAGTTATTATTTTTTACAGGGTAATTTTGGTGTATTTTTCAGTAGGAGCTAAAATATGTTTTATTTAATCAGAACTAATTATTCATCTGGAAAAAAAATACAAACCCTGGCCAGTTAAGACAGAGTAACATTTATGTTGGGTCGTATTAAGGCCCTGTAAGTTGGCACCTCTTGGGGCAGCTTGTGTTAATTGCCTTTTCCTCCCACAGTAGATTTCCCCATTGTGGGACTCAATTATTATTCTTATTGATTTATTTTATTATTATAAAGTACAATCAATATTTATTTTACTGAGTGGCAGTTTTGCAGGTACTGTCGACTGTTGTTCCTAATAACACAAACACTGGAGCTGCTTATCAGTTGCTCCATGACACACTGGCCATTTTTAAAAAGAGACAGATCTGGACCGCAGGCAGGCCAGGGCAGAACAGGCACCATGTAAACACAGCCATTAGTTTTAACTAATGCAGAATGAGGCCTGGAGTTGTTCAACAAACAGAAACAGTACCTTATTATAGATGATGCCCCTAAAACTGGTCAAAATATGCATTTAGGTGATGACAGAACATATTTGTGTGGTCATCAGTCAGACTGGAGCTCATATATATATGTATTCTATGAATGGTCCTTTTTAATCCTAGCCTTCAAACCAAAACCTGTTCCAACCAAACGTATATAAATATTTAGTTGTTGACGCTTAGACGTTTTCATTATGAAAAGTCTTCAAACAAAAGTGAGTGAGATGCTCACCTTGTTATGAGCATTACACACTGTACTGACCACCTGCATGCTTCTCCTGCTCTTAGTTGCACAAACCAGCAGAAATCAATTCCTGGGTGGATACTGTCACGTTGCCAGATTTGAACCTAGTCCCGCTGGATCAAGACACTGTATGCACAGTCAGCGGCTGGGGCGTGATCTCCCTCAACTACTATCAGCTCTCTCCCGTACTGAGAGCTGTGGATGTGAACATCTTCCCCAACTGCTGGTACTTCTACTACTTCAGGATCACACAGAACATGATCTGCGCTGGCTCCCAGAATGGTGGCAAAGATTCCTGCCAGGTGAGTTTGCAGCGTGCGGCTGGAACCACAAAAGACGGTTTCAGAAATTAGCTTTTCATCTTTCACCAGATCATCCTAAATAAAGTTTATAGAATAACAACATTACAATAAATTGTAATTATTTAAATGTCTCAACAGCAACATCACATTTTCCCTAAGAAAATGCTTTAATTTTCTTAATTTTGAATTGAATTAACAGTTTTCTTTATTACAATGTCACATTTTTCATTCAAGTTTTTTTTTTTTTACTCATTTTGAGTATTTTGCATTTAAATCCTTTGTGTTGAGACTGTGACGTGTTGGTATGGTGTTTACAATTTGATATTAAATAAACCAACCAAAGTTGTGACCATGAAGTCATACCACTAAATTAACAACGAAAGAGAAAAGGGCCTACAACTTTCAGCTCATTCTAACTTGATAGATGTTCCTAACAAACGTGATTTTCTTCATTTTTCACATTTTCTTCATACAAATTGAACCAATTAGTGAGGAGAAAATAGGATTTCAACAGTCGGTGTTTAATGTGCTATAGTTCTTTTAATATTATTTAAAATATATTTAAAATAAAAACTGTAATATATTAAGGGTTTAACTAAGTTTCTGACGTAACTGTTTTCTTTTCCATCCTCAGGGAGACTCAGGAGGACCTCTTATATGTAACGGCAAACTTGAGGGTATTGTGTCCTGGGGTATCGGCTGTGCCTATGCTTATTACCCTGGGGTCTACACCAAAGTGCAAAACTACCTCAGTTGGATAAATTTCATCATCCAGAATCGCTGAAAACACTTTTAATACAAGCTCCTCAAAGACTCATTTGCAAGACGATATAAATCAACATAATGGACTCAATTGAGTCCAAACGGATATGTTTGTTATTGTCTTTATTGTGTAACTTCCTGTATAATACTGTACATCCTATAAGTCTGAACAGATTAAAAATATAACAAATTAAAATTTTCACAATCGGTGATTTTGCCCTGGCAGGCAGAGAGCAGTCTCTGATCGTAGCCTATTGTTACAAATGTAACAATCACAACTTTAAACTTAGTCAAATGGAATGAAAGAAAAGAGAAAAATGCAGCCGTATTCAAAAAGGAGAGGGTAGAAAGTCAGACAAAAAACTTTATTTAAATAAACTTCTGACTAAGTCCTGAAGCTCTGACTTGAATGAAAAACAAACAAAAAAAAAATCTGGATTAGATTGAACTATTTGGATCCCACAGGGGGAATTCTTGAGAGTTTTGAGAACAAAGAATGCAGAAATTGATGAATCAGACTAAATGTTTTGAAACGTGGCAGTCGCCTGGTAATGTTGCCAAAGATTGGTTTTGTAGGAGAGAGAGTGAGAGTGGCCTGAGTTGAACCTTAAAAAAAAAAATCTAGAACAGTGTTTCTCAGCTGATCTGGCTCATTATAAGAATGTCCATGCAGTATTTTATATAGTCCGTGTACTACCTGCTTTAGCAAAAGTATAGAGTGTAGAGTTTGTTTCTTCTTCTATGATGTGAAATATCAGGTGTCAACTGATTTTCTCTCAACATTTGTTTGCCTTGGCCCACTGGAAACTAGTCCACGACCCCATTTTGGGTCGAGGCCCACTATTTGTGACTTACTTATCTATAATGCGATTTATACACATACAGTCTAGCTACTTATATACTAATATAATTATAAAGTAATAACTGCATACGTAATCGCATAGGGCAAACACGTATGGCGCGCGTCGCTCCATACGTCGATTCCAAACTCGTTGGAAGTTCGGCTTTTAATTCACCGCTGACTCTTTCTGACTTTTTTTTTTTCGTTATCTCTTTTACACAGCCGGCAGTTTCGGTGAGCCGGCTCATACACACACACACACACACACACACAAACACACTTGTATCATTCAGTCAGACACTACTGAAAGTTTTCACAGCTGCTGACTAATCCAATGTTTCAAATTCTGTACAACTACACAGCACAATGTTTAGGTTAGATTGGCAGCTGTTCCTGCATGCACGGTCTAACGAGCCGGTGAGAGCAACGTCCCTACTGCCTTTTGTTCAATTCTTGGCAAGGACCTCAGCGCTTACCAGCAGCCTCCTGTTGCGTGCGCTGCACAGCCGGTCCAATGGAGGAACCCAGCCGCCCTGGTCCGCAAGTCCAAGCAATCATGTCGGGGTCTCTACAAATGAGGCGGACCAGGACAAACGTCTCCGTCTCGGGGGATTTATTGCATTGTATTTATTGTGACCATGGCAGGTCCAACAACGATTCTCGTGAAACATTCACCAACAAATCCCACCTTTTGATACATGCTGATTCTTTTTATACAGACACAGACAAACATGACAATGTTACATCATATTCGGCTGTTATTCCGCTCTCTCCTAGTGACCAGATAAACGTGGTCAGCTTGACCAGATAATCATGTCAAAACATACACTTGCATCGCACTGGCACTGGCAGTAACAACTTCTTCCTGTCAAACTTGCCCTTACATGATGTCACATTGAAAATTGAACTGCAGGAGTTGATTGGCTGGGACTGCGTCCACCCTGTGCTTTTCATATTAAGCTGCGCAACAGCCGATTAATTCCCCAGCTGAAAAAGGACGAAGAGCAAGAATGGACGTGAAGCAGCCCAGCCAGTTGCCTCAAGAAACGATTGAGAAGCTGATCCGCCAATCCCATGAGGCAAAAACACATGCCTACTGCGTCTACAGTAAATTCAGAGTGGGGGCTGCTGTCCTGACAGAGGACGATCGTGTGTTTACAGGTAAGGCACATTTGTCTTTTCATATTTTTTTTAAAACGTAAGATTGGGCTGCAGCATTGTGCATGACGGACAAAGTAAACAGAAAAGTCCTGAACTTAACACTGCACTATGTAAATACCAAAACGTCAGACGTAAGAACCAATAGTCTGCAAAAAAGCAGAGAGAGAGAGAAAGAGAGAGAGAGAGCTAAGACCAACAGAGTAACTGTTTGACTAGTAAAAAAAATGTAACTATCTAATGTGTCTATCTATCTATCTATCTATCTATCTATCTATCTATCTATCTATCAGGTTGCAACGTTGAGAATGCCTGCTACAACTTGGGTATTTGTGCTGAAAGGACCGCAATGTCAAAGGCAGTGTCAGAAGGTTACAGTAACTTCAAGGCTATTGCCATAGCCAGGTGATTAAGCCCCAGGCTTGTGTAACACTGTGTTTCTTTATGGCTCTTGGCATCATTTCCAGCTATAACGCATGAATCATCTCACATTAGAACAACACCGATTACACAAGAAACGATTGCTACGTGCCAGATCTCAGATTGTTCATGGCAATAGAGAAAGTTCCATTTGGGGAAGTGTTGTCTGGGATGTAAGTACAACACTTTTTAAGTGTTGTACTTACATTTTTAACTGCGCAACGTTTGTTTCAAACGACAGTTCCTCTGCTTGACTACACTCAACAACTTTTCTTACTGCGACACAACTTCAACAACTTTCAGTTTCGTTGTAGATGTCAGACACTTTAGACTGCACACCAACATTTTGGAACTCATTCAAACACAGTCCTTATTCAGATGAGTCAGAGGAAGAAAGAGAGAGAGAAAGAGAGAGAAAGAAGGGGAGAGATCAGTTGAGGAGACCAGTCAAATAGATTCTTTTTTAAAGACTTATACTGCATATTTCTCACACTTGTGATATATTTTCTTCCAACACTATTCACAGATTGTTTTGTGCCAGATCACAGATAGGCTAAATATAGAAGCCAGAGACTTAACTGGTGAGTCAAAACAAATTCTTGGCAGAGGTGGAAAGAAGAACTAAAAAAATGTAATTAAGTAAAAGTATCTTTACGTTGCTTAAATTCTACCCAAGAAAAAGTACCCATCTAAAAAGTGAAAGTGAATTATTTGACAGCTCAACTCTCAGGATTTTCACACTTGTTAGTGAATAAGATAATCTTATAATTATCTTACTACTTATGCTCAATATATTTGGCTGTGATCTTAAGTACTGCACTCAACTGTTATTGACAATGTATACTTCATGACCTTTTTGCCCATCTCTTTATTCTTTATTCATCTCTTTATTTTTTAATTGAAAAATCTGTTGTAATCTTGTTATTTACTCCTTTTTTGCTTTATTCCAAAAGGAGAAACAAAAGCCAAATTAAATGCCTCAAATACTGATCTTTTTTTTTATTTATCTTTTGCAGTGACCTTGAGGACCAATTCATCTCTCCATGTGGTGGCTGCAGACAATTTATGAGAGAGGTATCATCACTGCTTGATGAGATATTGCCGTGCATCAAGGAGTAAAAGCACAGCAGTCACAGTCAGAAAAAAAGAAAAAAAATCCTCAATCATTTTACAGGTTTCTATTCCAAGTGTTGTACTTCAACACAAAAATATAGCATACCTCAACAACTGACAAAGATATCACTATAAATCTTGTCAAAGCAGTTGGACATGCATGACTTCACAGGTTTTGGTTCAAAATCAGACAATTTTGAAATTCCTATTATCTGTCTTAGCTCTTTTTGCCTTGACCTGTGCACCTGTTTTTGTCCTCAGTTTGGAACAAACTGGGAGGTGTACCTGACGAAGCTGGACAACTCCTACATGATGAGGACTGTGGACCAGCTGCTGCCCATCTCGTTCGGCCCTGATGACCTGAGCATGAAGAAAGTGATTCCTGACGAAAACTGAGCTCTCTGTGTGCATGAAAAAGATTCAGAGTTTAACATGTTTGTGCTTTACTAATAATTATGCTGAAGTCTTCTTGCCTTATGACATTTTCATTGTATATGTCTTTTTTAAATGCTGTTGCTAAGGAAAGGAAGGAAGGAAAGGACACCACTGCACACAACCAAATGTGACCTTTGTTTTTAACCCATCACCAAAGTGAACAGTGGGCAGCTTTAGGCGCCCGGGGAGCAGTGTGTGGGGACAGTGCCAGGCTCAGAGCACCTCAGTAGCAACTTGGCAGCTGGTGGACTCGAACCTGAAGCCTTCCGGACCCAAGTCCGCTTTAGCTTTAACCACTAAGCCAACACTTCCCCAAATAACATGAGCTTCAGTCAATCATTGACGTGCATTAACATGTAACTGGTTTTGTTGCAAATTGCTGAAAATGTATTCATTAGCTTTGGAAAAAAAAAAATACAAATACCAGAGAAATCCATCAACAAATTTTAATGAATAAATCATTAAAATGACTTTCTTTTTTAAGTTACACTTCATTCATTCTTACAGTGGGAGGTTGATGTGAAGTCTGAAGCAGGTACCAAGGAAAAAAACATTGAGCTACAGCGTCACATCCGACTCCTCGAGACATAAATTAATCATTTAATGAAGTCAGAAAAGATTAACACAGTCAGTGTAAATTCACCTAGCATTTCTAAGTGTTTGACGTCTACTTAATCCATGCATTCAATTGTTTTAAGGTGTGTGTGTGTGTGGGGGGGGGGGGGGTACATGTTGGAGGAGGAGAAGCATTAAAGGTTCTCTTTGATTCAGACAATTAGTAAAAGATACAAAAACACACTACAAAATGAATGAGCAAATAAATAAAAGATGGCAAAAGTTCAGCATACTCAACAAAAAAAAAACTTCATCAGAAAATCATCAGAAAGCCAGATCTGACCTGGGTAACAGTCACCCACACGTATGGAAGACGTTATATGTGGTTGTCAGTCTGTTATTGGGGCGAACCCTTGTTTACACCTGAAACCCAGTAATTGCCTAATACAGGCCAATAACCTGGATGAACTCAGACTCAAACGTTATCACTGGGGCTTAATTCCAAAGGTCAAATATGTGTCAAAGGCCTCTCACCAGTAGGTTCAGCGCAAGCTTTATTTATTTTCCAAACAACACACATCTCACGCTGGCTCACTACCTGCTGACTGATCAATAGATTATGAAACAAACACGGTCATAGTCAACCACAAGAAAGTCAGGAAGATACAACAGGTCTTTGCAGAAGACTCTTCTCATCCATTTAATAACATCTGTCCAACGGTCATTTATTTGTGTGTGATCAGAGAGCTTGTTGTCTCCAATGCTAAGTGTCAGATACTTTCCAAAAGACGATGGTCGCACCTTTTGGTATGTTCAGTGTGAGGTGGAACTGGAGACCAGCGATTCTCAACCACTGTGCTGCGCCCACGAAAATTCCCTAATTTTAACCAACTGGTCTGTAATTTATTACAAACTAAAGAAAATTATAGACTCACAGCTGTTCTGTGAGTGTGTCTTTCTTTAATTCCTGTGAGTATATCAGCGTAATTTTCAACTAAACAGACCTAGTAAGTAAATTCTGAGTGGGGTGAAACTAGATGATCAGTAAAATTCATTACATATACTTTTTGTTGTATTTTTTTGTGTGTGGTGTGCTGTGGGGAATATGGGCTGTGGCCATAAAAGGTTGGGAAACACAGCTGATGACCAACATCAATCCTGTCAGCATTTTTCAGCCGATCAAATGCTAAGAAGTCCACGCATCACACAATGTCGTGAAGACGCCAGAAAATGTTTTTGTAAACCAGGAAAATGAAGCATACTCTGTTAGGTTAAAGAACAACCAGAGCCCAGCTCAGAGCAGGTTCCTAAATGAGGATGGAACGCTTCCCTGCGACCGAGATTCTCTGCATGCTTAATGTAACCAATGAAAATCAAATGCATTTTTTAATATACAATACTAAAGCAGCTGTGTACCAAATGTGTCTGTTGTAGACCCTTCTTTTATGTCACATCATGTTTAATTTTTGTTAAATGTATATAAAATCCATTATATAAGGAAATAAATGTAATAATTCAGTCCACTCTTCTCAGCAGGTCCTATAAGCCTTTTACTAACGATTTCCATGGAGAGTGTCAACAAGGGCGTTACCCAGTTCTGTAATTTCCCAGCCTGGGATCAACAAAGTACATGTATCTAAATTTAACTTGTGGCGAAGTTATTTCTGCTGTTTGTCCAGATGAAGAGCTTTTCCATTTCTTATATTCAGTTTATGACGGAAAGAACAGAAAATGGAAAATTTAAGACTTTTCTTGGACACGTAACCACTGTTGCTGTTTTGGTTATGTTTTAAAGGTCCAGTGTGTAAAATTAAGGGATTAAGGGTTACATTAAGAAAATGAACATACCACCCATATGTGTGTGGAAGCATGTAGAGTAGATATATATATATATATACTGTATATATTTTTATTCAATATATATATATATATTTATTTAAAAAATAAAATCAGTAACATGATCTTCTTCATATGGATTGGCTCCTTGAGCTAATATGTCATTACAGTAGCAGAACACGTGTGTGTGTGTGTGTGTGTGTGTGTGTGTGTGTGTGACTCACATTTTAAAGCAGCAAAAATCTAAACCACAACAATTAACAGCTATTCTTCTTTAAACTGTTACATAAACAGCAGGAAAAACGGCCGGGTCTCATTTGTCCATATTAATGTATTTAAACAAGCGAACACGTAGAGCTGGGCTTGTTAAAAATTTTTTAAAAAATTATGCATTTTTAGCCCCTAAAGCAAATTAGCAAATTTCTTTTTCACATTTATATATTTTTTCAACTCTTTTTCTTATTAACATACAAAGCACCAACTAAAGCTGCCAATCACAGACTCCCTTTTTTACATTAGACTCAATTTAAATCTTGGGGTTGTAAAGAAATCTTTTTTACATTAAACTGCCATGTGTCCTCATCACAAAAAAACAGTTATTTAATTTCCTTAATTTTTTCTTTATTTTTTTTGTCATTTGTCTCCATAGCGAAGACACAGAATGAAGTCACTCAGCTTGGTCTTACACATTTTCAGTTTTAAAGGTACTCTAAGCCACATATTTTCAGCTGTTTGGGTCTACGGGAAAGGTCAACCATTGTTCCATGACAGAGGAGCAACAGTTTAGAAAGAAGAGACTGTCGTCAAGTGTACGTGCTACCATCTTACTACAATCTTACTTTCACTTCAGCTGGAGGAAGAAGAGGAGACGTGAGTGGTGTCGAGGGAAGGCCAAGCGGGGACGTGTAATCTGGGTAGGGTTCCCTCCATTAGCCTTTCCATCCACAGTCCCAGTCTGTCAAGCTTATGGTGGACTTCTAAGGTTGTGGCTCTGCTGGAGCTTTTCCTTGAGCCTGTGCCGTCTTCCCTGGAATGAGACCGGGATCTAGAGTGAGAGCTGGACCTTGACCTGGACCTGGACTTTCTCCTGGTGTCGGAGGAGTGAGAGGTCCCAGAGGAGGAGTCGGCGGGATCGTCGCCTGTGAAGACCGGTCTGAAGAGGCAAAAGTACTTCTTGTAACCGTTGAGGGCCAGGACGTGTCCAGAGTAATCTGAAGGGTCCTCGTCTTCATCTGAACGGCCCTCACTCTCTGCAGCGTCTGAGGCTGAGTGGAGTAAGGATGGCATCCAATGGCAATGCTTGTCGGCGTTGAGAAAAGAGAAGTGGAGGGTCTGGGATCTGCAGTGGTACCACAATTTGGAATTAAAAAAACAAAACAAAAAACAGACAAACAAAACCAACTCCAGCGAGGACCGTGACATGCAAATATTTATCCTTCAATCTGATTAACCAGTGGGTAGCTGTTTGCGTTACTGACCCGATTATATTTGTGACTGTTGTCTCAGACTTACCCAGAGAAAGAGAAAACCTCTTTAGCAAATTTCCTGAGCAAGGCATTCTTGGAGTTGTTGGTGAGCACCAAAACAACATTGATGTGGCCTGGCCTCAGTTTGACCAGATTACTGGTGTAGGTAACGTCAGTCAGTTCTGTCACTTCCACAAAGTCCTTTTTGGGAGGACGACTGCATCCATCCAGGGAGAGAAAGACAGAAAGAAAGAGACAGACCAACATTCAGTTAACAGGCAGAGAAAAGAGAACACATGTTCAGTAGTGGTGTGGCTACAACATATTAACACCAGAATGGAAACAAGGTCACAGCAGTAGACTGTGAGCCATCAAGAAAACGGCAAGTATTTAACAAATGATACAACTGTTGCCCGACGGCTGTTTACTCCTTAGTCACTGTAGCAGAATCATTTCTAACAACCCTGGATCAGGCTCGGGGTTTTAACTTCGGTAAGGTCGAGACAGGGATGTGCCTTCTGTAAAGTTCTTTGGTAAGGTGTAGCCAGTTCTTTTGAAAAGGCTGGAAGTGAGAGTGTTGTTGTGAAGCGTGAATAGCTGTGGTCATACTAACAATAGCAGTGTGATCCAAATGCTTAACCTTGCTGGTGTTGCAATTGGTTGTGATGAATGCAATAACTGCTGAATGTGTGTGTACAACTTCTGCATCTCCTGCTCTGTTTAGGACACTTTGAACTAGATACAGCACATGTATACAAAAAAGGTAACCAGCAGTTGTACATTAACTGTCAAATTATTCATTATTTTTTACTAATTTACCCTCTAACTGCTGGACTTCTTTCACACTGTATTGTATTAACCAGGTGTTCTCTTACATTTAACTCAAAGAGAAGAAAGTTTTGGAAAAAAAAGAAAATTATGCAACTACTGAAGAAGTCAGAGGGCCAACGGCTCATCTGCTGAATGCACAATTGTTTAGGTACAAATCAATTATTTGAAGAGAACTGAGCAGTGCTTCTGTGAGAACACAACTTTCGCCGTTTATCCCCCTACCTTGAGGAACTGGCTCTGCTTGATGCATCGTCTTCAGTCTGTTGACTCTCCTGAGGCTTTGGTTTGCGTGGCTTGTTTTCCCCGGGCTCACTGTAAAGATGACACAGGGAGAAAATGTATTCAAATCTAAGGCCTATGGCTACAGTCCATCAATCTTTTACAAGGTTAATAACTGGAGCTTTGGAAAAGGTTGAGGCCCATTTCAAAGAACATTTTGTCAGCCATGGGTAGTGAGAGGAGAAAAGCTGCGTTCAAGTGCTTGGACAGATATCTAAGAAAGTCTTGTCCTTTTACCACAAATCAAATTACACACTGTAATACAATGCAAAGGTTTTAAAAGAATGAAAGCACGAGTTCCCCTTTAATTATCGTAGGCTTTCTGTAAAATTCATGATTACTTTTATAATTGGTCAAACACTGGTCAAAGGCAGTGGATTGAACATTAGAAGAAAACCTACAATCTTCAGATTCAAAAGTAATTATTAGCAATAAAAATTCCAAACAAATTTTGTAACAAATTTGTTGTTAAAATGGTTTGCTATGTTTTTTTCTGTTATGTAGAATTTAAAAAAATGTATTTTTTTCATAGTAATTTTTTTTCCCATAGTTTGGTCATAAATACATCAGCACAAATGTCTCACCTGAAGGCCTGAATGATGACGGTGCCGAAAAGAATGAAGAGAGCTGAGAAGATCAAGGACAGAATGGGCATCATCTCCCGCCTGGAAACAAAAACCACTGTTGTTGTTCACTCGTGTATAAACACAAGCAACAGTCCTTTTTTTAAAAAAAAAAAAAAAAAAAAAAGGTCTGATGTTCACATTTACAATATAAACAGGTTTCTGAAAAAACTTAATTTTTATTTTTTTATAGCTGCCAAACAGAATGTGTTAACTGTGATAAATAATTTGTGAAATATAATATAATTGTTTACAGAAAATACTGCAGCGTTTCTAAAATGATTTGAAATTATTCATGGGAGTGTGTGTTACAGAGGAACTCTCCCTTCCTGTTGAGCGTTTTGGAGAAGTAACCAAAAAGTTCAAAATTCTTACCCCCCTTTCTCATTTTTAAAAAAAAGTTTTTCTTATTCCTTAAGCACAAGTACTACTTACCCACGAAGCACACACAAGTACATGCTACCCCATACTTTTCAATCTAGTGCAATAAAACTAAAACATATAGAGTATTTTGCATGTAGACGTGTAAAATATTTTAGTTTTTAGCTGAACATTTATCAACAACACTTCTGGGATCCTCATACTTCCTGAACATCTCCTGACACATAACAGTCCCAAGCATTTCAATTTCATGTAAGAGGAAATCCATACTGGTAATCTAAGAATAAAAACAAATATGATAGACAAATGTGTTTCACAAAAGCTTATAAAGCCATCGGGGGGAAATGTTTTAATACAAAAAATAAGAAGAGCTTTAAATGGTCCAGATGTCTTACCAGTTTGAATAAAGAAGATCATCATATACTTGAATGACGTAATCATAGGCTGCGTTCATCCAGCGAATGATAAAAATCTGACAAGAGATGAAAATTTAAAATACAAAAATCTGTATTAGATTCGTGAAAAAAACACAAATTTTCTGTTTGCTGTATCTGTGGTTGTCACATGCGTGGTTGAGTGTGTGTCTGCTGACACCTACAGGTGCCATCTCATTGATGAGTTCAGGCAGGGTGGCATCAGAGCTCAGGTAGGCGGGGTCCTTCTGCAGGAGTTCCAGCTGTTCATGGAGGCGGTACTTGTCTTCCTCGCTGCCGTTCCAGCCGCCACTCAAAGAGCGGAACAGCACCTTCCCAGCCTGGCTCCGCCTCTCAAGAATCACCACCTGTCAAGAGTACCGAAACCGAAACTACTTCAGTGCATTATAAATTAGTAAACAGACAAAAATGCTACTACCACTTAATCTTTTTTCCAGGTCGCAGCAGAAGGCTGTAGCCAATCCGAGTCAGTCTAAGCTAAAGTCTGAGCTAAAAACCTGAGTCTGACGACAACCGAAGAGACTGTGATTAAACAGTAGAGCAAAATATAGGAGACAGCATATGTTGTGTCGCCATCTACTGTTTCAACACATGCAGTACATTCAGATATATACTTTTACGTTATTGTTGTTGATAATTCTATAACTCCAGATATTTAATGTACAGTATGCTTTCAGAATGTTGTTATAGTTGTCATTTCCGTATAGATATTAATTTATATCCTTTTACTTCAGATATACTACAGATATGTATTTTCGCATTTTAACAAATTTGATCAAATCAAAGACAAAAATCACCAGCTGCAGCTTTGGCAAAGACTTTTCTTGGTCTGAGACTTTTTTTTACGAGTTTGTTCCACTGACCTGAGGTGAGAGTGAGACCTGATTGTGGAGCAGCGCTTGGCACACAGGCTGCTGCTGACGTTGGTAGACGTATGCAAAACGCAGCACCTCTTTACTGTTAGCCGAAGCAAAGTCAAGGAAAGCTTTGTTTCCTGGGAGAAAGGCTGGGTCGTCTCCTGTGATCAGCAGCACACAGTACCTGTGGAAAAAAAAAAACTAAACAGGTCAGGCATTTTTTCAAATTTGAGCCAATAATAGTAAATAGTATTGCATCTGTGGAATCAGTAAGTGGATTTAGTCAGCATACAGAATACCAATTTGATGGAATCTGACCATTTTTTTTTTGTTTTTTTTACAAGAACTGGTTCTTAAATCCCATCAGTAATGCATCAGTCCTATCAAAAATCTATGATGTATATTTAATCTGCAAAATATAAAGAAAACAAAAAAGAATCTTTCAATTTTCTTACTTCCTTCTTCGGTGGAACTGCTTGATTGGACACAGTTCATCAAAAAGCTGCTGGTTGACCAGTCGCGGTACCTGCAGGAACCTGTTGTTGGAGACAAATTCATCCATGATCTGTCTCTTTAGTCCCCTGGCCTGTGTGACAGAGAAGACCGAATTTAAAGAGCGAGAAGAGAAATTCATTTGGGAACTCAAGAAAGAAAATACAATTTACAGTACACTTATTTAACTATTCACTTTTTTCTTTTGCCCATAAGTGACATACACGATTATCTAGTTGTGATTTCATGATACTGAATATGACGTGTGGGTTGTGATTGGTTTACCTGGATGACGTCCACAGGCTTCTCTGTGTCCTCCTTAAACAGCAGCATGGTGGGGGCGTAGGTGTTAATGTTGAACTCCTCTGTGATCTGATCGGAGTGCATGTCGCCCTGGTCCACGTACCCGAATCGCACGTAGTCTCTGAAGGCGAACGCTGTTAACTGGAAAGTAAAGTGGGAAGATTGATTTATAGCTGCTGAAAAAAACACAGACTGCTGCCATGTGTTTTCTACCAAACAACTCCTCTGCACCAGATGCTTCGTCAGCTTTATAACCAGCTGCTCTTTCTCCTCACCTTTTTTTAGACTGTTTGTCATCTTAAGTCAACAGACTGTCAGGATCTAATGGAGCCTAATTAAAGTCTGAATGGAGCCCAGCGTGATGTATATCAACTGTACGTTGCACTGGGCAATTAGACTTGGGTTAAAAAGCTAATTAGTTGTGTCCTTATTGAAAGCACAAGAGCACAATGTGACTTCATTCCCTGACTGTTAATAAATGTAAAGTTTGTCTGGAAGATAAATTTAGTCCTTTCACCTCTGACAATGCTCAGTCACTTAATTTGGGAAACAGAACCCTGGGCGATACAATGACGTCTTTTATTAGGAAGCGGAAGCACATTGGGCTGTCACTGAACACTGATGGTAACTGTCCAAAATATAGATCTAAAAACAGACTCAAAAGTGCTACCTAGTTGGATTTAATGATCACTCATCGCCTCCGTTCATATCTCCTGTTGGTTGGTCTTGTCTTATAAAGTTTATGCTGCGTTGTTCAAGTAGGAACCCAAACATTTTCACTCCTACAGTAGTACAGATGACTCAGCTGGTAATTTCAGAAAAAAAGGTCATTTTGTGTGTGTGTGTGTGTATGTGTGTACTGATCTGTATAGACAAGAGCCTAAGATAATATGAGGCTTACTTTGTAAAGCAGTGAAACAACTGGGACCTGGTCAAAGAGGAGAACTCGGGGCTTATTTTCCATCTGCCAGTTTTTCAGAAAGACCTTGTAGTTGTTATCAGTCACCTGGAAATATATAGAAAAAAAATATCAATTAGCTCAAAACTGCCCTTCTATTGTTTGATGGTCAGGTCATGTACCAAATATGACAATATTGGTCATAATTCTGACACTCTTTTTATGCTAACTTGTTTCTGGACTAAAAAGTGTTAAAAATGTCAACAAGATATATATTTTATAAACCGTATACTGGAGCAAATTTTTTTAATCAAACTTGAGACTACCTTTCCAAAGAACCTATAAATCAATTACTCAGTTTTCACATATAACTATTGTAAAAAGGAAGGAAAACCTGAAATCAAAGACCCTTTTATTCACCTGAAAAAAAAAAAACTGATCACATCCTTTGTAGGCTATTACCTAGTGGGTCTATAAATTCTGCATACGTAGAACTGCGAATCCAGAGTGGAGTAATGCATGAATAAATCTAGGAGGAAGCAGTGTTGTGAATGCCAAATGCTGTAAAAACAACAGTAACAGCAGTGCCAGTGTCAGTGTGGACTACAGTCACCTTTTCCACCAGTTTCTGTGGCAGCAGGTCTTCAATGAACTGCCGCAGGTGTTCTCGTACCACGGCCTGATGGAAGAAGGTGACCCTGCCGTTCAACAGCCCAATGATGGAGGGAGCACGGTGGGCGCCCAGCTGCTTGGCCAGGCGACGCTCATAACCCAGGTCCACAATACCAATGCCAACACCTGGTGTTAAAACAAAAACAGAATAGGAACTGCTGTAGCTGACACGATTCAATTTTTTAGACCCTGACTTTTTTTTAAGTTCTAGTCTTGTGACATTACGGTGTCTTTGAGTTGGACAGTGTTCATCTAAACTACTCTCACGTTTAAAGCATACAAGAGTATTTGAGGCAGAAAGAGCCACTATATATATAGTTTATATATGAATGTATATTAAAAAACAGGACTGGTAGGACTTGGAAATACAGCCACTAGCCCTTGTTAATGCATTCACTTCACTAAAACTTTGGCACACTACCGTAGAAGTCTACATTTGTCCGCTGGCGTGGGAATAACTATGTACTGTACAGATAAATATGTATTATTTAAACAACGGTTTCTCTGTAAAATAACTAGAAAAGAGAAATTAAATTCTCCTAACTGCCTTCAAGTGGCCAACATTAACTTTCTTTTTAGACGTTTTAATAACATCAAAAATCCTCAGTGCTGTAGAAATACAGAGAGGAGTCTGGTGACATCAGACTTACCCAATGGCTCCAGCTCCTGCACCACCTCCTTCCACACAGGCTCAATGTGGATGCATGCAAAGCACCACTCAGAGGTCACTTTGATCAGGTATGGCCTTTTGAGGCTGTCTGGAAGTACGTCGCTGTTAAAGTGTGCGTGGTGAAGCAGGTACTTGCTGTCTGCAAAGTCCCTGGACCTGGGTGATGACCACAAACCAAACAGTCAAATCAAGAACCGAGTGGTAAACCATGACCGGCTTATCCTGGCAATAGAAATATAACCTAATGTACTTTTACGGATATTATTGTCTGACCAAACTGGCAATCCTCCACTTTATTGAAGGAAGTTAGGTGGAAGTGAACCAATCACACTGCCACACAAAAAAAAGAATACCTGGAGAAATGGAAGAAAGACTCGTCAAAGTAGAAACTGTTATGGAAGCTGCGGTAGCCTTGGTGCTGGGAGTGACCGAAGGGCTGGTTCTCATCCATCTGTCCGTAACGGTCAAAGTTGGCCCTTCGCTCTTCATTAGACAAAATCTACAAAGATGATGTCAAATTTGACAGAAGTGGAGTGTAAATACAGTCGTGTATTTAATCATCATTGACCTACTCTGTTCAAAGTTCACCTCAGCAGATCATTTCTCTTCATTACGTCCCACCTCTTACGCCCCCTACTGTCAGACAACCCACATAACTCTCATTCATACACCTGCAGTCTTCTTTGCTTCTACTGATTTTAGTTGTGCAGGCCTTTGTTCGATGCTATTGTCCACTCACCTCATATGACTTAGAAACCTTGATAAACATGTCCTCAGCTTTTGGGTCCTTATTCTTGTCCGGGTGCCTAAAAAGAGGGAAAATCAGAAGTTACGGGCAGATCAATGATTCTAGCTCAGCCCTTCTAACACCAGAGCAACAAAGAACGTGGTGGAAAACCAGACATGATATTGACTTGAATGGATAGGATTACAAGTTAACTACTTCTCTGGTAGCACAGCAATTATACCAATGGAGGGAGAGCAGAGTCAACACTCAATTAAGCTAAGGATCCAATTTGGGAAAATAATGATAAATTATTCCTTCCTAATGTCCAACAGTAAATCATTTAATTTAGAAATTAATTAATTGATTTTTCTCAGGGATTTTTCTTTTTTTCTCTCTTAGGAAAAGAGTGCTTTAAGGTTTGGCATTTATTATTAAGGGCCACTCATGCCTTACAGAAGGAAGATGCAATCTCGTGGTAACTGATATTCTGTTTGTTTGGAGTTTGCACATTTGGGGTGTCAATGTGTTTTCCCAATTCACTATGGCTTCTACCAACAGTCTAAAAACACAATTTGGCACTCTATACCGACAGTAACGATGAATGGTTGTTGTGGTGAACTGTCCACCGTGATGTACACCACGCCCTGACCCAGTGACTACTGGGATGTGGTCCAGCTGCCCCTGTGACTCTAAACAGGACTAACTGCAACAATGTGATTCACGGAACTCAAATTTAAGATGTACAAATACCGATTTGGAATCTGTATTTCCCATTTACTGTGCATCACATTAACTGTCATCGGCTATAGCTTTCCATGAACAGTGTTGGATGAATAAATGAATGAATTACATACATGTTCTATTAAAAGATATAAACTTGTAATTGAGACCACATAACCCTGAGAAAGTGGTTTAAGATGAATGTAAGAATGATGATACTCGTAGAGTTCAAACCAGGTTCAGCTTTTCTGGTGTAAAATGAGGTGTCTTGTTAGCCACACTACATTTGTGATGCTGGTGTCACTCACTCACCATTCTCTGGCTAGGTTCTTGTACGCTCGTTTAATTTCTGCTTGACTGGCACCCTTGCTGACACCCAGGATTTTATAAGGGTCATAATCAGACGCTGCATTTGCCAAGTGCACACTTGAAACAATCACAAACACGGCTAGTAGGGCCGGAAATATGCCACAACGTCGGGTGCTTCTCCTCCTGGCCGTCATTGCTCGTCCTGGTCCGAAGCTAACGTCAATTAACTAGCTACACTGCAACCCGGTGAAAACGGCAGTGGTGTTCTTCTGTAACCGACGAATACACCGATTTACGCTCTTACATGTTTACGTGTGCTCGTCTATTTACGTTGTCACTGACTGCAAACGTCGAGGTAGTGTTTAATTCATATGATCTGTGGCTTGACTACAAGACAGACAGTCAAGCATTTTCGTAGCTAAGGTTGAACATATGTAATTTTAGAGTATCGTCTGTTTCCAGTTGTGAATTTCAAAATAAAAGTCATCTCCCCCTTTCTCTAAATTATATGCCTTTTGATCCCCTACTTTTTCTATTTCTTTAAGATCTTCCTCTCGATTCTGTTGAATAAGGTGTTGAATAAATTCAATTGCAGACAACAAACAATTCTTTACAACTACACCAACGACAAATAGAAAAGTTAAACCAAGCATGAGGTTTTTAATTTTAAAAAACCCTGTTATACATAAAACGTTTTATGTATAACAGAACTTTTTTACTCATGTTGGAGTATATCGCTTTTACATTAGCAAGAATGGACATAACAAAAACTTTTATATTAATAAGTGAAGGTGTAAACCTACTGGCTTAACACCGAGGTGAGAATGCTTCTCGATTACAACTGTTATCTTAACCACTAGATGGTGGCGAAGCCTATAATCATTTTTCAAATGATACAGTAGATATCCCACTGTTGTTATGGATTACCTCAAAATGCACATCTAGAACATGTGGTGAAAGAAGAAGGGATCTGGTTTCGTTTAACCTGGAAAGAATCTTACACTGAAACAAAAACTGTTGCCTTAAATTCCTAAAATATCAATCAACACCTTATGAGCACCTGCTAAGCACATTATCCTCTTCCATTTTTGCTTTATAAGCGCACGATGTGTTCTTTAATCATATTCTATTTTTGTACGCTTGTCCCAACAGCATTATATAGGAAAATATATTTTTGAACGGAGTAACTGAGAAAAAAAGCATGCATATCAATCAACATATGCCTTTTTGTAGACAAGTATTCTGTTATTTTAAAGTTCCTTTAAATTGCAGATATTTACTTTGATATAGCAAAATGTTTCGACAAATAACCTTTACAGCAGTTTAGTTGTATACATATAATGTAAAAAATAGAGAACAACATGTCTAGTTTTAATTCATGAAGACGTCGTTTTTTATGGGCAGCACTTCCGGTTTCTTCGCGTCACTGCACAGAACCGAGTCACTGCGAGAGGAAAAAAAACAAAACAACAGTGATGCTGTTGTTATTTGAAAATATCTGTTCCTTGCTATATTAATTTCCAGCGTCGTCTTTTGTTTGGACCAGCATGTGCAGGCTGTCAGTCTGTACTCTCCGTGGAGGGAGCTCGTTAATGAGAGCACACCAGCAGCAACAGAGGATCTTTCTGTTCTGCTAGCTGTCGTTAGCCTACGTTAGCTGTCGCTCAACAGAGTGCTGACTGCGTGTAGCCCAGTCTGTCTGCATCGGCCACATTGCACAGGTACTTTTCAACGAGTTCGGTTAACCGACATGTGCCCTGCATTCGTCACCGCACATTTAAAGGTCACCTCTTAAACGGTATGACCTGTACCTATAAAAGTGGTCGCCTCAGCCCTTCCTCAGTTTTAAAGGTTGATGCATTATATTTTATTATTATTATTTCAATTTTCAAATGTAGTTCTTATTTTTATATCCATCTTATTGTTGCAATATTTGTTTTATTCTGCAAACAAAACAAAACTTCCAAAACTCCAGTTGTGCCAAAGTCAATTGTATCAGCTCTCATGTTTACATCTTTTCTTTTACTCTATCGTAATTTTTAGTTTTTGGTGCTCTCTACCCATCCTTAATTTCCCATAGGAAACTCCCAAGGGATTAATAAATAAATAATTATATCTAATTTAAATATATCAAATCTAAATCCTTCTGACACTGCTGGGGTTGGGGAAAAAACTGATTGAACAAAACGCACATGGCTCAACACTTGACAAAGATGCTATAATAACACTTGCATTAGCGCTTTAAACGTTCTTCACACTTTCGGGCAATAGATTCTAATTCTAATAGATTAATCTGTGTAAAAACAATTCTGTTTTTCTTTCTCATTACCAGATCCTGCAAGATGAATCTCTTCCGTCTTGTGTGCCGCCATAAAACAGCCCTTGTAATCGGCTCTGTATGCATCTTCGCCATAGTTCTCTTATTTTTGGCCAAATGTACATCAGAAACATTAAAGCAGGCTCATCCAGGCCCACCAGGCTTAGCTCCCAGGGCCAACGTTCTGCAGTCTCGCATAGAGCAGCAGAATCCTCCTGCCACAGCCAAAGACTCTGCTTTCCTTGTAGTTCTTATCACAACTGGACCTAAGTACACAGAGCGGAGGAGTATTATCAGGAGCACCTGGCTGGCTAAGCGGGATTCTGATGTTCTGGCTATGTTTGTGGTAGGAACTCAGGGACTCTCTGGTGAGGATCTTCAAAACTTAAACACAGAGCAGGGACGGCACAAAGACTTGCTTCTGCTACCTGACTTAAGGGATTCTTATGAGAATTTAACACTTAAGCTGATCCACATGTACTCTTGGCTGGACCAGAATGTGGACTTCAAATTTGTCCTCAAAGCAGACGATGACACATTTGCTCGCTTAGACATGCTTAAAGAGGAGCTGAAGAAGAAGGAGCCCAGCAGGTTGTACTGGGGCTTCTTCTCCGGCAGAGGTCGAGTGAAAACTGCCGGCAAATGGAGGGAAAGCTCCTGGGAACTTTGTGACTACTACCTCCCCTACGCATTAGGGGGTGGCTACATCCTGTCAGCTGACCTGGTACATTATGTACATCTGAATGCACCATATTTTAAAATCTGGCAAAGTGAAGACGTATCACTTGGAGCCTGGCTGGCACCGGTTGATGTTCATCGGACACACGACCCACGGTTTGACACAGAGTATAAGTCCCGTGGTTGCAACAACAAATATTTGGTCACTCACAAGCAGAGCTTGGAAGACATGTTGGAGAAACACCAGACTCTGCAGCGTGAAGGCAGGCTCTGTAAAGAGGAAGTGAAACTGCGATTGTCCTACGTTTACGACTGGAGTGTGCCGCCTTCACAGTGCTGTATAAGGAAGGATGGCATTCCCTAATGAAAGTCCATTTTACATGGTTAAACATGGTTTTAGAATTTTTAGTAATAAATTATATGTTCTCCTACATAATTTATTTATTTGTGGGTTTGTTTTGTTTGTTTTTTTTAAAGATAGGAATTTGAAAATTTTAAACTTGAACAAAAATACCCACAATCAATTTTGGCCATGTAGGTGCAATTGTCTTTATGTATTGAACATTTGTTTTCTTGACTGTAATATATAATAAGGTTTTTTAATTTAAACATCATTTGTCCAGCCCTAATGTGAACCTCATTCTTTGTTCTTCTAATTCTGAAAAAAACAATTGTTACTCCACTGCAGTATTTTTTATTGTTAAAGATAATAAAGAGTGTACTGTTTATTTGAGGTTTGAACCCTAAACTATGATTGAAGCCAGGTATATAATAACAAAGCATTACTGGCTCAGAGATGTTATCCCGTAAGTGTATACCAACAGTCAGGTTTTCTTTTTACTTACCCATCATGTCGACTATTTTTGTATTGTTATTTATTAATAACTTATTTTCCAGGATACACAACACACTGGTACTAAGTGAGGAACTCAGATGTCGTGGTTACTGTGTCAGAGCAGACTTTATTTATAAACAGATCCCCTGTATTTCACATAATTCGTGCAGATGGAATGTTTATGATACAAACTGTAAAGTGTTTTAGATGCACAGAAAATGTCTAAATGTTAATTGTCGCTCCTAAGAGTCTGTGGTGATAACTGCATTAATGTCATTGTTGATTACAGGGGCAGCAGTTCCACTTTAATGTTTGGGCAGTTGATTTTTTTTATGTCATCCTTTGTCAAACTGATCCTGATTCAGGTTTGTGTTCGGTAGGTTTTTTTTCTGTACATTCTCTGCTGCCCTGAATGCTTTAGTAAAATATTGTATGTGTTTACTCATTACATATTCTCATTGTCTGTCAATGTCTGCCCCCTAGTGGCATTAACATTAGACATACGTAGTACTGTAAGCTTGTGTTCTATAATTAAAACAAAACAGGATGCTTTCTGACATTTTATGTTGAAATAGTATAAACCGAGGCTTCAGTTATACACTGAAGTTAATTCCTGTGTTTTTGCCACTTCAGTCATCACTCAGAAAACCTGCCAACATGCTTTAAAGTTCCTTTAACGCGGACAAACTCCGGTGCATTCTGTAGACTCTCACTCCTTCTCTGCTCCTCCAGCTCACTCTAGAATACAGAAGAAGTCTTTGTATGGGACAAAATCCAGAGGCCACTCATGCTCACACACACACTAAATAACCACCGGAAGTATGTTTTTTTTATTATTTAGTCTTAACACTTACTGTTTGTATTCTCTGCTGCCTCAAGCACAGCTTTATTTCTAGGTCAGAGGGAGGATAGAGGGACATCTCCCTCTGCCTGTGCTGCTCTCTCTGTTTGCGTTCCATCACACGCTGCAGCTCCGACTTCGCTCTTGGCAACAGACCACTGAAGAAACATGTACAAAATGATTGGAAAGGTTTAAAGCTGTAAAAGTTAAAATACAATATTAAAAGCTCCTTCATTGACCTCAGTGCCCCCTCACATTGATGATTGGTGTGACTGAAGCCTGGGTCGTAACAACACTGGCTCTGAATGTTGTAGTGTTTAGGATATGTACACATTTGCAAATCTTTTTTGTTTGACAGAGGCCATTTTTCCTCCAGCTACAATATCATAATTTTAGCATTCACACTTAAATGTGCCTGTGATTTTGCAGATAAAACCATAAAGTCTTGCAGTATGTAGACATCTTAAGTTAGAGAAACTTAACTTTGTAAATATAAAATTAAAAATTTAACCAGTCTATAATCACAAGGGATAAACAGAACAACACTGGGAAGGTGTCAGAGAGAAAAAGGAAAAACTTCTTAACTCCCTCTGCAGGAAGTGCTTCTTTACACAGAGCAGCTATAAGCTGCTCCTAATGGGCCTTGATCAAGTAGAGCTCAGGGAGCTTTGTACCGTCTGTGGCAGAAGAGCAGCTCCTGGTGAAGCAGCCTGTGTTGATTTGAAGCCAGAACTGGATTTGGCAGCAGAGTCAGGTCACCATCCTTCTGCTGTTGACTCTGCGTCACCTGTTGAGGTCGGAGCATCCAACCCGGATGTCTGTCTGACACACATAAACCACCACAAAGCCAGATTACAGACAGATTTGTTTCCTTGCTTTACATTGTTCAGTGGAACACATGAACAGCATGATCAGTGAAGTGATTATAACATATATAGATTTTACCTCTTCTATCCAGAAATGCCATTTGTTGGGTCATCTAAAAAAAAAAAGAACAAGTCATAACGCCTTAAATAATGCATGTCCACACAGATAGTTTGGACTCAGATAAAAAGAAAGCTGGTAAAATGTGTTTCATTGAACCCACAATGACACACACCAAAAAAAAATCAGCTGTTAAAAATTAAAACATCATAAAAGGTGGTACACTGAATTGAAAATATATTTTCAATTCAAAGGCTCACTGATAAAAGCTCACATACTGCTGAAGAATTATTTTAATAATAACAATAATAACACTAATAATAGTATTATATTGTTAACAACATTAATCATAATTAAAGTACAAAGAAAACATTTTAACAGGTTCCATAAATTAGCATGTTATATTGGAGAAGCATCAGTGCAAAATAAATGTAAAAAAGCTAAATAAAAAGCCACACCACAGAGGACATTACATGTTATCATTCTTACTATAAAGCAAATTATTATATTTGACTCAAACACGACAGGAAGAATTATCATCAGACTAACCTGTGTGGCATGGTAGAGACGCATTCTCGACAACAACACTGTGTTTAGACTGTCAGAGAAGTGGAGGCTCAGTGCTACAGGAAGGATGAACAGTCCCAGTGACGCTGATGTGACAGCTGCATCTTTTTTTACTGAGATCAAATCTTATTAAGACTCATACGGCCTCTGTGCCAGAACCTTCAGGACACAAACTTCTGTTCTGCTAGAGATAGTGGTAGCCTGAAGTGTAGATTATTCATTTGTTTTATATAAACAAAGCAAAACTACAACTACTGTTTACTAAACGCTACAAGTTTTATTTTTAAAAAGACCATATTTTCTGCATGTGTGTTTGGTTCTGCCAAAATTAAAAGGATTAAGTGGTTAGAATTAACTGATGGAAGAAGTCCGGATTAGAAAAACAAGGTCACTTTAAGCACTCTTTTGGGGAGTTTACCCTTTTAAAGCTATATTAAAACCACTGATGTGCATTACCTGAGTCATGTGTTATTTACTAAATTCAAAACATCAGAAATAAGGGGGTAGGGTAAAGCTTTATCTTGTAAATTAAGCATGACGGTTCAGTCACAATTTTATGATATCATAGTTTATGAGAGGACAATTATTTCATTATGACTCATATTGAGTCATAGCTAATATCGTAATCATTGTTGTTCCAGCTATAGCGGCTACTCTCCTTTAGGGGGCAGTACACGTATTCGTACAGCAAAGAACATAACACGTAAAGGAAGAACAGAAGCCAGGGAAACAGGAAATGTCAACCGACTGGCTGCAGCGTTCCACTTTCTAATTATTACACGATGGACTGCTGAAACTTCACCGACTTCAGAACATCGTCATAGAACAAGCTGCAAGTATGACTAATGGTAGGTACATGGTGGCGTAAAGACGCTGACATAGAGTCCGCAGCTCAGCCGCTCGACTTAAAGTTGGGCTAATACTAGGAAAGAAAGCTAAGCTAAAGTTTAGCTGTAGACGTGGCCCTGTGGCCAACAGTGTCTAACTGTAAATACAGAGAGCCATTTATTTTTGAATAAATAAAATAATTTGAAGCACCATGCAAATCTCTAAGTAAGGAACCATTGAGTAGTGTGAGTTAGTAGAAAATAACTCTTGTCGTCATATCGTTCAGTGTCTGATACATAATGTGGTTACTACAAGTTGCTAAATAGCTGTACTGTACAAAAGAGATAGCAAAACTATGGCCTCTGTATAGTAATTTCGACATGAAGAAATGTTTCTTAATTAGTTCGCTGACAAGGTGAAACAAACAATGACGGGTTATAAGCGTTACGGGTGAGATGATATTGCAGTATTATTACCCATTTGAAACAATGCTAATAAACATTAAAATAAAAGAAATGTAATAATAACTAATAACATACAGACCACTAGTGTATGAGACAACCTTTGTGATTCAACAAGTTTAAACAGTCCAACGTAAAGGGACAGAAACATTAAAGACTGTAATTCCACTTTTGGCGTCACGTGTCAAATGAAATAAAACAACCTGTCAACGTGAAGGGATCATGTCTTTTCTACAATGTCCAAATATATAGTTTTATATTTACAGCATTGCTTACAGGAGAAATGAATGCAAGGCTAAGGTGTGGACATCTGGTTGGCAAATGTGAACTTGAACCGGAGGCAACAGTGGTCTGTTTTGATGTAACTAAATTTAGCTAAAAGCTTATATTGTGTACTCTGTGAAAAAAAAAAAACAGTGAAGCAGTGTGTAATTCAGTGTCTCCTATTTCATAGTTTACTCTTTTGATGGCATCCTGGTGTTTGGGCTGCTGTTCGTATGCACGTGTGCATACCTCAAAAAGGTGCCTCGTCTCAACAGCTGGCTACTGTCAGAGAAGAAAGGAGTGTGGGGCGTCTTCTACAAAGGTATTTATGTCAACATTAAAATTAATAATCAACACATTATGCATGCATACTGTCTCTTTATGGACCATAGTTGCTTTTTTATGTTCATGGCATGTTATGGGTTATTTAGGGATAATGTAGTCATTGTTAAGATTGATTAGCACAGTGCTAGAGGAACACAAACTATTATACAGTATATTATAGTATTATTGTATGTATTAAACACTTGAGGCACTAGAAGTAGGTTGCCATCTGTAACAACAGTCTACATGTTAACATAAAGCAATGTTTTATGTTTAATTTAGATCAACCTAAGCCCAATATGCCTCTTTTAATATGCCAGAAGGCAGTGTAAAATTGATCCAAATCATATTTATTTGGAGATGTTTAGTGTCTCATTCAAATACTTAAAAAAAAAGATTTTCTCTTTTTGTACACATCCCAATACATTCCCTTTATTTTCTTATGTCTTTCCTCAGCTGCCGTAATTGGGACGCGGCTCCACATCGCTGTGGCCATTTCCTGCATGTTAATGGCGTTCTACATTGTCTTCCTGAAATGACAGTCGCACGCTAGACTGTAAAGACTGGACACTGTGTGCAGGAATGGAAACAGATTCATCAATGTAGAGGTTACGTTGGAATCCTTGATGCAGGACACTTGTAGGATGAAGTGGGCGATGGAACCCCATTGCCCTGTGGACCTATGTGGAAAAATAGCTTGGGGTGCCCCTTTCTGGTGACTGGGTACATGACTCTTTTCTTTATAATGTACATTACATGCACTACAGACATGAAGGTTGTCCTTAATCCACTCCAGTGATTGAGAAAAAAAGCTTGGTCACATGGTATCATTCTGTGGATAGATAATGCTGTCATCTCCCCATCACAAGTTGTAATTATTTATATTGAAGGATGCTGGTTAAAACTGCATTGTATGTAAAGCATTATGTACGTTCTTGCTGTATGTATGTTTGGAAGATCAATGACAACACAGGATTTTCAGGCTTATATGATCAAACAGAAACCTAGTTTATTTTTCCACCCAGTTCTATTCTGTTGTTTTTCTGACAGTGGTGGAGGGTAAGACAAACAAAGATAATATATAAAGATGTTCTTGTGTGCTCTGTAATTTACAGTATAGGAGCTTTTCAGTTAACTTTCTTAACTGGTGTGTGTATTGCATCCCATGTCTTTTTGAGTCTGAATTACACATTTTACACTAGTGTGTTTTGTACTTGTACATTTAAATCTAACCCAAGATAAGGTATACAGTAAATGTCAATAATAATACATTTAGATGTCAAATTCCAACCACAGCTGTAGATTACAACAGGTTTGTAGTGACTTCAAAAGAAGGTATATTTTAACATTGAAAAGCTACGTCTGACACACCTGGTAATGAAATGACAAAAAGAGTTTGGAGCTTCCCATATCACCGCTCTCACGTTGACATTTTACTTCACCACCTACATTTTTGTATATGTTTTGAGGGAGTAGGATTGAGATGAAATTTCAGTAAATTGATTAAACAAATTCTGTATTTGCTTTTTTTTCTTAAATGGGAAGTCCTGGAGGCCTCATTGCATCCTAGATATAATAACTGCGTGACTTTTTTAACTTCTGCACTTTCTTCCTGCAAATACAAACATTTGCAGATTCCCATAAGCTGCTGACCTATACGTATTTTGGTAAAGATGGTGTTAATGATTTTCTTTTTCATTTATTACAGTATGATGTCACATTTTCTTGTCAATTTTGCATATACAGAGTCAGTAGGCCACATTCTATGTTTTTTATGTCACACTATTTTCAGCAGCATGTGTTTAGCTAACACCTCTATAAGTCTTTGGTCATTGCTAAAGTCTTTTTATACCAGACTTCCTTTAAATGTGTCATTGAAATGTGTATTTCTGTCCAGTTACTAGTTAAGTAGACTAAAGTATACATTTACGAGTGTGCCAACCAAAACAGTACAGATCTGTACTGTAGGTAAGGTAGCTACACATTTTTGTTTTTTCGGTGCCCCGTGTCTTTAAACTGAATTATAAAACTTGCAAAAACAAATAAGCATTCATAATTTACCATAAATCCAATAAATACTTAACAAGTAAAATAACAACCTAAACATATTTTGTAATCGCAATTAAAGGAAATTCCTCCATTACGTCCCAGCCCAGTATGAGGACATCCCTGTCCCTGACGGAGACGATTCAAGTATCGCGAGATTAGTCATTGGGAGCGCGCCTTGCATCGTGAACGAACACGTTTCTTACGCCTGGGTGGAGAGAACACGAGAACAGGACAGCAGAGACCAGAGGCGAAGAATCCAGTGGCTGCGAGTTCACACTGAGCCTCCTGAGCCGTGAAAGGAAGTTGTGTCTAAACGTGCAAGGGAGGTGGGGATTTTTTTTGTTGCACAACTGTGGCGACTTTGCACAAAGAGGTAGCTGAAGTTTAAAGCACATACCACGTCGTGCCATACAGAGGAGAGAAGAGGTGGAGGAGGAGAAGAAGGGGCAGAAGTTTCCGCTGGTTTGTTTTGTCGTTGCGGAGCTGCCGGTGAAGCCGCAGGAATGTCGCAAAAAGAGAGACCCGCTTTCTACCGACAGGAGCTTAATAAAACCGTGTGGGAAGTCCCGGAGCGCTACCAGAACCTTTCTCCAGTTGGCTCCGGCGCGTACGGATCCGTGTGGTAAGCAGTTGTTGCAGAAAGAAAAGACTCGCACACACACAATTGCACAAGAGTAGGACGGGTTCCCACCACCCGAGGAGGCCCCGTCACAGCTGCTCCCCACAGGCTTCTCCTGTCGTCCAGTGAAGCATGTTAGAGGCAGAACGGCGGAAACATAGCTGATACAGTGTTTTTTATTTGCAGTTGCACGCTTAGGCTGCCGTGGGTTCACGGCGTACACACTTGACAGTGTGACAGTGACCTCCCATGTCTTCGGCGGGCTTTGCCTGAGGATTGTTTTTACTTTTGTGCACGTATTTTGCTTCACACCTATAGCAGTGCTCGAGTTGTAGCTGCACTTGGACTGGCTGCATTCTGTGCGTGTGCAGATGAGCAGAAGTGTTTATTCTTGAATTAGGCTTGTGTAAATATATAATTTTATCGCCTGCTTCAGCGGCATGTGCACGCTTTCGTTGTCAGCCTCACTGGTGCCCCCTCCTCTTCCTCTTGAGATATGATGTCTGTTACGGGTTCAACAGCAACTACCGAAACAATCGCCCTCTTCTGAAAGACTATTGTTGTCCGACCAACCTGTCACTGTTGCTGTGCATTATTGTGCATGTTTGTGCATGTTCTAGTTGGCTGCAGAGTGTCAGTAGGTCACGTGGTTTTTCAGAAAGTAGGCCCCCCTCTGGTGCATAGTAAGAGCTTTCACTGTACAGGAGCTGATGATGACTCTGGAATGATGTCACCCTTTTCTCCGGTTGTGGTGAGCCCATGACTCACTGTCCCGAGGTTAGGTAGTGGCCTCAGTGGCCGTGACGTGTTTTTAGTCATAGCATAGTCACAAACAGCACCATACACAGCATTAATTTAAATTTCTTGACCCTTCCTTTCCACCTGTTTCTTTGCACCTGTTCGTTTGTCTGTTCAGGAACCTTCTCTGGTTTAAACACTGACTACCAGTGCCTTCGGTCCCAGTTGGTACACAATGGTTTGACTCCAAAAGAGCATGACCCTATAGAACTGGAGGGAGCTATTTATGTTGCAGGCTGTGGGTTCAGAAAGAAATGCCAGGAAAAACAGTGTCATCAATAATGGAGATAAAGAGATTGAATTTTAGTGGGATGTTTGATTTATATCCTGGCAGAGACCTTGACTTGACATGTATACACACACACACACACACACACATATATAAACATATATACATGTATACATATATAATTTGATCTATGATTATGATAATAATTAATCTGGTTTTCCATTGGCAGCTTTATTTGAGTACGTGCATGCTTGTTACCATTTTATGACAATGTGATTAAAAACGCTGTAGCCTTTGTGAAAGGGGAATTAGGTCTGGCTTCAGTGAGGAAGTACTCATTTTTTCAGGCTGTTTTTGAAGAACAGTTTAACAGAGGACTTGATCTACTTTTTTCTTTGATTCATTAAGAGTGTGTAGTTTGATGGTATGACCATTGACTTTGAAATACCACAGCCTACCCAATGTGCCATGTGCCGCTGCAGGAGTTAGCCTCGATCTCTGCATCTTTGTTCTCCAAAGCATTCTTCGAGTGCAGTATTCTTTTTGTGAATTTTCACAATCGGTGCGTTGCTTGGCATTCTGTACTTAAATATTAAGCATTGCATGTGTAATTAGGGTCAGGTGGTGCAATGTTAGCTGACATGTCTGGAATTAACCTCAGCAAAATGTGCACTGACTTGAAAGTTCTCCAGACAAACCAAAAGCTTAGGCTTGAAACCAGCAATTTTAAATGACCTTAGCTCAAGTATTTAGTCATCTGAGGCATGTGTCTGAATTCATTGGTGACGTCAGAAGAGCTTACCCCTTCATTATGGAATAAAGTAATGCCTGAAATTCTAAGCCTTAAAATGTCCTGGATTTATATATTGCTACAATGTCATTAGGTCCTGACCATGAAAATATATTTATTTGTTGGTAAAAGCACATTGTCTGTTTATCATCAACCCTTTTTTTCAGATATGTTTTTAAATGTATAAGCAAACAAATTCCATATTACACAAAGGTGTGTTCAGAACTTGCATGTTTAGACGGGCATGTTCTGCCAATTTGTTTATCTCAGATAAACGTATCTTGTTGACCTACTTTCTTCCATATCATGTTCCAGATTGCATAACTGAATTGTGTACTTGACCTCTATGTTGGATTTTCCTAACAAGTGTTCAGGCAACTTTCTGTTTTTCCTCATGGTAGGAAATAAACAACCAGTAGAGAATAAATTAAAAAGTAAAATAAATTAACAAATTTCCAAAAGTTTGAAATTAATGAAATAGAGTCAATAATACTCTTGGTATATAAACAATGATTTGATTATACAGTGTTCAAGACTTTGCTTGGCATCAGCCTCTAACACACATTCAGACAATAAGTGCCTGTAGTGATTTTTCCATTACTGCATAGAACTGATATCAGGAACTACAGTGAATATCAGCATTAGTGTTCCACCACAGAGACCAGGAACTAAATTGAGGTAATGAAACTGTGCTTCAACTATAAAAATTGAAACAATAAAATCAATTTAAAATAAACAAGAAATAAAAGTGGATGGATGAGTGTATGGGCCATGAATCTAATCCCACTTACTATGGAAGTACTACAGAACTCTTCAGTGACCACTGGGTCATTTTCAAGTCTCATAACATACTGTTTATACTGTTAGGTCACAATGACCATGTATTTAAAGGAACTGGGTCATGTTGCAATACACTTGTAAGGATGTTTTGAGCAGATAAAAAGCAAAAACAAGGATCTGAAAATGTGCTCTGTGTAGCATATAATTTGAGTACTGTCCATGATAATCTCATGAATAAATCTGATTGATAGAACTTTAAGTTTACAGACCACTGTTTTTTTTATTTCAGCATCCATCTAGTGCCATGGTGGCCAACCAGTCAAGAGGCTAAGAGCCACATTTTTTACCGTGTTACTGCAAAGAGCCACATGATATACATGGACACACATAAACTGCCCCATCCTTTAAAACAAAAAAACCCCACTCTTTTAAAGCTTCATGCGTACATCGTCATGCGTAAAAAAACACATAAAATTTGACATAAACTTAAGAACTGCATGAAACCGGGCAAAGAGCCGCATGTGGCTCCCGAGCCACAGGTTGGCCATGCCTGATCTAGTGCATTAGACATGATGGATAAATTAAAAAATGATGTCAACATGGAGAAAAATGAAACAACAGTTAATGTCAACCAGCTGTTTTGTACAACACAGCAATAACACAATGGAACGAACTTCACTTTCTTACCATTTGTAATTATTAAAATAATAAATTCATAAAAAATATTTTCCATACTTTCCTTCGCTTTGTGACAGTGAATAATCACTACCATTGTACTTTAAAAGTACATTGGAAGTCCAAAGTCCGGTACTTTCCAGGCGAATAGTGATCAGATTATTTAGGAGAGATGTTGTATCAAGTTCCAAAGGCTATGATCAAAACAACTCTGACAACTCGGTGGCAACAAGGTAATTTACCAGACAGATGTGCAAAAAAACTGTTTGCTTTATTTAGAAACACTGTGGACAGAGCACATTGGAACACGTGCGCTGATATCCCCACAATAAAATAATTACAACCCGAGTTGCTGACGTTGTTGCTTGTGCCTGTGTTATCTTACCAGCACTAAGGTCATAACTACTGTATGATGTTTTAGAGGAAATGAGACCAAGCATGTGTCACGAACATCATAAGAGATTAGTCAACCTAGATTTTCTTTTATGTAGCAGAATTCAAAAGACCTCACACCTAGGGTGCATCACCATCACACATCCCCAACAGTGTGATGTCACCAGAAAAGCAACTATTATTACTAATAATTTCCTATTCAGAACATTGCTCTTTCTCCCTAACTGCTTTTGCCTTTAAGGTCAGTGTGACCAAAAAATGTTTTTGGTCACAGTTGGCAAATTAGCCTGAAGATAAACTACAAAAACTTGCAGCCTGTATTGCAGCCTATATAGCACAGAAAATAACTATTACATAGCAATTCTTTTGGATTGTTCCTGTCTGATATTTTCTTTCACTTGCATGTTCACAAATAGCTTTCCTTGTGCTTTTTGCTATCATTAAAACTCTTGCTAATCTTATTTCATTAAGTGAATAAACAGCAGTGCATCCAGAGAAGGGCAAACTGTATATGTCCGTCGGTCGTGTCCTGCACTTGGCCTGATTTCTCATTTTGTTCCACATGCTGTTGATGATCACTGCCCCTTTTACTGCCCACATCTTTGTGGACATTTGTTATTGCACTTACATTTATTACTGACGTTCTGTCTGGTGTATGCACAGAGATGTTTTGTTTGTTCTGGAGCTTGGCAGCAGTTTTAAAGACGGTGTGCACATGTCTTTGTCAATTCACTATGACCTGGTGTTGACAGAGTACAGGGTTTTCCTGTACAAGTGACACGTGTGGAAGTTGCTCTGCATGTTGGGAACATTGAAGAACACAGTGTGTGGGAGATTATCTTCCACTTACTGTAAAAGAAAATGCTGCTTATCTTAATGTTCTTATTGTGGAGGCATGTCACTGGGGATGTTGCAGTTATTGGGTTTCAGTCATAATGCCAGCTTGACAACACTTGTACTGAGTCAGAGTAATGATCTCTGATCAAATCTGACCCTGAAGAGAATTCTTCCTTGAGATGACATAACTGTCCAGACCACAGAAACAGCAGGAAAATTAGGGTTGTTTATTGGGTGATTTTTTTTTCATCACAATTTTATCCGTTGTTGCATGCAATACACCACAAAGCCGTGACATTGATCAAAGGGTCACAGAAATTATAATGTATAAGACACATTTGGGTATTAATCATAGTATTTTCATGAAACTTGATGATGAGCTCTGGTTCTGACCAACTGCATTTTAGTGACAATCTTTCAATCAATCACTTATGAAGATACTCGTTGGTTGCAGCCATTGTACTCAATAAAATAGCAAACCATGTCACAAATCATGATAGTGTTAAGAGAACAACTGTAGGAAATAGTCCAATATTGACTTTAGTTTTTTATTAAAAAAAGACCTCCCTCTTATTGTAAATATAAAACTCATTTCATGTTCAGATAACTTTTGTAATCAACCCTTTTTGATGCAGCATAACTGATTAACCTGAAAGGAATGCGGTTTGTTTTCTGTAGGTTGTATGCCCTTACAGAACAGGAAACACAGCAATGTCACAAATCCCTGGGAAGAATGAATCCTCGGCCTCCCTCGCTCAGTGACCAGGAATGTCCTGCAGTCCGTTGTTACTCTGTATCCGACTCTAGCACAGAAGCCCATTTCGCTCTCGGCACCTGGTTTCCCTTTCCTCCACTTTGTGTTCTGTTACACTTCTGGATAGCAATGTTGCCCCACAACTAAGGTTGTTTTTTTTTTTTTTTGTTTGTGTAAAGGATAAATGTTCTCAGCGCTCAGTCAAATGTCATTCAGCTACTAATAAGGTTAATATAGAAACTTGGAGTGAAGGGGAGAACTGTTTTTCTATGGAGGTAGAATCAAACTGCAGGTGTCAGCTGTGATTCTATATAAGTATTGATGTGATAACTATTACAACCAGTGTCAAATCTCCCTCTTACATTCGTTGCTGTGACTGTTTTTGCATCACTTGGGACAAAATGTTCAACTTCAATAATTGCCTGAGAATTTGTCTGTTGGTAAATGTTCCAGTTTCTCTACACTGTTATTCCACAGTTGCCGTGTTTGGTGTTTTTCCAAGTAGATGAGCAGCAGATGTAATGATTTGATGGATTGTTTTCACAAACAAATGCGCTGTGGGCGGCACGGCCTTTCAGTGCTGAACTGAGAGTAAGTGGTTGTGGAATGGAGATGTAATAACTGATCTGTCTTTGAAAACCATCAGTGCCTGTGGTGTTTGAACATCATGTGCTGAACCCCACAGTTCAGACAGAACAGGTTGGGTTCCATGTGGAGAGTGTTAACATCACTGATACATAAAAGACAAATGTGTAAAACACTAAATAAATTGATTTAAAATAAATTGACATAAATTGATTTGTTTTTTTTGTTTTTTTATATTCTGATGGATAAATTGATTTGTTTTTTTGTTTTTTTATATTCTGATGGAAGCAGTATCGTTTTTTTTTCTACCTGGCAGTGAGTCAGGTTCCACTTCCTGAAGATTTGTGTGTTATGAGAAGATACCAAGAGCGTAATACATCTGGTTGTTCTATTTACACTGTTGTCTCCTTTAGTGTAGAGTCAAATAAGAGAAAATGTGTTTTTATTTTTTTGTCACATGCCCTTCTAATGTTCACCTCTTTTTTTTTTTTCTTCTTTTTTTCAGTTCAGCGTATGACGTGAAGACAGGCCTGAAGGTGGCGGTGAAGAAATTGTCGAGACCCTTCCAGTCAATAATCCATGCAAAGAGAACCTACAGAGAGCTGCGGCTGCTGAAACATATGAAACACGAGAATGTAAGTGGCTTGCCGTACCAGCAGGAGTCTGGTCATATGTAGTTATCCATCCTGGCCTGTAGTGACTGCACGAAAATGATTCTCTAAACCAATCTGTGGTTTGACATTTACACACACAATGGGAAACACACCCAGCAGTGTGTCTTCACGTGAGCAGTAACACGCATGGATCTGGGTCTGGGAGCTTGCTGTTCAATGGTGTGTTTCATGCTCTGCAGGGTTTCTGTCGGTACTTTGAGTGAGTGCAAAACTGTACATTTGCATTGTAAAGTTTGGCCACATCTACAGTGAGGTCATGTTGGTCACTGCTAGTAGCTGAGTGACAAACTCATACTACAGGCTAATGTCCAAATAATGGCTTTACTGTGATCATAAACTGTAACTTATTGTATAATCCCCTTAGATTACATGAAAAAGTAAAAATAATAATAAAATAATTAAATTAATAATAAGTTCATCTCGTTGTCAATGCATTGTAAATAATCAGTGCTTTGTTGGAGGTGAAAGTCAAAGTTTACTTGAACCACGTGGTGAATATACACATTAATTCAGTTATTTGTTCTCTCTAATGTTCTGTATAAAACTTGCTGTTTGTTTGGACCCTATACCATGAACGTATTTTAGTCTTTACCTATTCTGCACACAGACAGTCTGTGTTTTGTTCTCCCTGTTGCCAGGAGACTCCCCAGCATTGGATTTTTTGGAAAGCCTGAGTGAACCAATCAGCTGTTTCTCGTGGCTGCAGTCCACCAATCAGCTGTGTTTGTTTCCTGTGTGGGCGTGCTTTCCAATACCTAACTGCTGTAACCCCCTACAGTCGCACGCCACACTTTTTTCTCTGTCTCCCACCCTGTGCAGGGGCTGGAAGACGGGGCTGGCACTCAGGGCGCTGTGCCACCGTGCCTGCAGATCATGCAGACCTTCCACGGAGGAATGTGTGAATGTGTCCAAGTGCAGACACTTTGATCAGTATCCTCAGTTGTCTCTGTGTCCTTGTTTGCTTTGTTCCGGAGCTCAGATGATATACTTGATGCATATCTTTAGAAATGAGGCCAGTCCATGACCCATATATACTTTCCCCTCCCCCGCCTCCCTTTTTCCACCCATTTTTTTCCCTCCTGATTGAGACGGCAGAGGGGGTAAATAATAACGTCAGGTTCAAAAAATGATGATTCTTTTCGGATTCAGACCAGTTGCTTGCGGGACATCATGCCCATGTGGTGCGTGGTCTAACAACCGTACTGTCTCCATGTGTCTGCCCTTTGATGGCTGCTATTTTTGGCTGGTTGTCATTTTCATGCTTCCACGTAATGGACTATGGTTAAGTATAAAGAATGGAATACAAACTCAATTTCCTAAAACATTCCCAAAAATGTAAAAAAATATAATATGGTAATTACATTTAGCAATGCCATTCAATTAACTTAAAACTTTTGAATTTAGAGGACATTTGTAAAATCCATTTCATGCATTCTTTATCACTGTTGAACAGTCATAAACCTGCACATCGTCTCTTCTATACATCAATCAAGCTGCAGCCCGTAGTCTAATTTTATATTTTTAAGTCAAGCCATATGTGTACTAATAGAGGAGCACTTTTTCAAAAGTGAGTTCCTTATTACTTTGTACCACTGCTGCTGCTCACCACAAAATATATAAATAACATCAGTAAATATGGTGCTGTGTTGTGCATCTTTTATTCGGTCTACCTTATATCATACAATTTGAAAAACATCCATCGAACTAAACAATGTGGTGTGGCTTTATTCCCATTAATCTCTTGTTTTGTTTCCACTCGGTGGTGTCTACAATGTGGTGATTCATGTTCAGACTCATCTCCTGCTTTGTCTCAAATCATTTCTTGCTCTGGTCGTGATGATACACAATCTCCTGACTCAGCCACTTGATAATCACAAACGTTTGCAGGGAAAACCCGGAGCATGTCGCCGGGTGTAGGAGCAGACTGGAGACCTTGACAGTTCAAGTGTGACAGAGAGCTATCGAAGACTCGAGATATCCTTCCACAGAATTACGACCATGATATCAAAACTGTGGACGTGGTGGTGGAACTTTTCAAGCATTGTTTAATGTTTGTGTTTCAGCCTTCTGCTGAAATGACATCAGATATTGTGTTATCACAAAAAAATCTCATGTTTTGATTCTCGCTGCGAGCGATTGTGTTTCTGTTTATGGTCTTTTCTTTTTCTTTTTTTTTTTCTTTCCATTGGTTCCTTAATCTTCAGCTTCTGTCTCACCAGGTTCATTTGTTTTTCCTGTGGGGAAAATGAGTCTGACCTAACTTGATGTTCTTTAACAGTTGTAAAACACAACAAGCCAAGTTAGCAACACTGCTAAACTTCAACATAATCTTGACTTTTCTCTTTCCCGTTACATATTTTCTTTCAGAGGAAATTTTAAGATTAATGTTAAAACTTAAAAGTACATTAAAGCCAAATGTTTTTTTTTTAAATTAACATGAGTTGTATGTCCACACCAACCTTCCCTGCGTTTTACTTTGCTGTGTCCATGAATCGCTCTACGTTCCTGCTGAAGACATGGTGTCCCACTCCCTTTGTCAAATATCCCCAGAATCACTCCACAGCACATGTCCAAACCATCTCACTTTCCCTCCTTATCTTTCAACTGTTCAGCTGTTAGCTGTGCCTCTGACACGCTCATTTCCACAAACCATTTCAAGTAAAGTCTGCACATTTATTACAGGTTTTCAGTTTCATATTTTACCAAAAAATATGAACCACAAGTTGCAACTTAAGTTTGATTCTACATAGTCTCTAGTCCCAGGTTAGGGAAGTAAAAACTTGGCCAAATCACTTGAAGAAATAAGCTAAAAGTTATTCTGGATTTCTTAGAAAAGAAAATAATCTATATTTTTGTATGTTTTTCTGTCTCCAGGTCATTGGGCTGTTAGATGTTTTCACACCAGCGACGACCTTAGAAGAGTTCAGTGATGTGTAAGTCTGTGTCAGATTCTGCTTCTTTCTTTTTCCCTCACACTCACACAATGAAACCCCATCATCTCACAGTGACACCTGAGCAGGGATCATACAGAGAATCTCATCATCACCCTGTGGCTCCAGAGTGTAGAGAGTTTGATTAAGGTAAATGTAGAGTGAACATGTGCGCTGTGCACATCACAGCTAGTCTCCATGGTAACCACCATCTGGCTGTCTCTGGGGGTAATGTGTGCATGTGTGTGTGTGTAAACAGAATAGTAAATCAGTTTTGTTGAATTCATTGGCATGTTGTTTACTCCCCGATGCAGGTCACCATTTTTTTAATGTGAAAAAAAAAGTCCACGTGAACTCAAAGAGAGGCAGAAAAAAAAACGCATCTAATTTTAATTCCAACTTCTTGGTAGTCCTGAGTTTCATTAGAGTTAGGGTTCTGTCTAGACAGTTTGATAATGTAGGCAATTACACGAGGCCCCTGAGCTGACAATGGCCTTAAAAAAAAACCCTTTCACTAAAAGGAACTAATAAAGTGTCCGTCCCCAAAGTCCAATAAAGCAACAAGAGTTCTGGTACTTACATAAGAGTTTTTTAAAATCTTTTCGTTCTGTTACTTGCAGGTATTTGGTGACCCACCTAATGGGGGCTGATCTGAACAACATTGTAAAGTGTCAGAAGCTGACTGATGACCACGTCCAGTTCCTCATCTACCAGATCCTCAGAGGTTTAAAGGTCAGGACTAATAGACATTGGATCAGATCTTCCTTTCCAATGGATCCATCACTGTAATGCATAGATATAAAGTAGATTTCTGACTTATTCAATATACAGTTATTAGTTATACTAATGCATTTGTTAAGTAATGTAATTCATATGTTAAGGTTTTTTATTTCTGTTTAATTATTGTTGTTTAATTTTTTTATTAATTCTTTAAAAAAGTGTTTTTCAAACAAGTAATTTTCATCTTTTTCCTCTTTCTAATTTTCCTCTCTCCCTTCTCAGTACATCCATTCTGCTGACATCATCCACAGAGTAAGTTCCACAGACTTGATGCATTAGTTTAGAAACACTAAAGAATTAAAAGAATTTATATATATATAGACGGGGTAATCAAACATAAACAAATCCTCTTTTCTATTTTCTCCTCAGGACCTGAAGCCCAGTAATCTGGCAGTGAATGAAGACTGTGAGCTCAAGGTGGGGACAAGTCTACTACTACAACAACAACTGATGTGGTTCAGCTTATTGTTGAGTAGAAGGCGTTTAAATAAGATGGTTCCTGTTTTGTTTTGTTTCCCCCTCCTCACACTGACATTCTGTCTCAGATTCTAGACTTTGGCCTGGCACGGCACACAGATGACGAAATGACAGGATATGTAGCCACGCGGTGGTACAGAGCCCCAGAGATCATGCTCAACTGGATGCATTACAACATGACAGGTAGACGGGGAACACACACACACACACACACAATGTCACCACTGAAGGGAGAACATAAAAATCTGAAAGTTTCATCAGAAAGTTCATCAAATGGTGACTTTAGTTGGAAACAGAACACTTTTCTATAAATTACCAGGTGAATTCCGTTTGTTTCTGTGCTGCACCTGCATCTTCTGAGTTTCCCTCAATATCACGACGTTAACTCCTGAGGGATTAATACAGTTCTATCTACTCTATCTCTATCTATCTTGACACGACAGCACTAGTCATTCTCATTGTATAAAGCAGTTATTTTACACCTTGGAGGGAAAGATTAGCACCAGTTATAATTAGCACTAATATTTCACAGATGGTTTTTTTTCTTTCTTTTTTTTTTTTTACTCTTCCAGCATCACTTGCTTAATATTTATTAAGAAATAATGTGGGTTACATAAGAGGAACTGCCACCGCTTTTCAATTTCCTGGCTGACTCATCACGACACAAAGGTGCACCACAGCAGCCTGAGTGCCATCTTAGTCAGATGTTTGCTCTTTTACAAGGCATCTGATTTTTGTTTCTACAAATTCAAGTGATGTTTAAAAAAACTGGATGAAAGCAGGAACTGATCTTTGTCGTTTGTTTGCTTTATACAGTTTGTTTCTTCTTGTTTTTTTTCTTTTCTTTGTTTTAACCTCAGGTCTTCTCTTTAGTTCCTTTATATCTGATTAGAGTGCAATCAACTCTAATTAGACTGGGAACAGAGAAGCTGTTAGGTAATACAAAAAAAAAACTAAATTCAATAAGGCTGATATTAAACTCCTAATATCAGGTTTTCTGACTATTATATTGCATGTACTTTTTGCACATATTGATCTTGTATACAGGAAAAACAAGTAGTATAAAATATGTTCCTGTTTCTCACATTCAGATGTGTTGAAGTTGTTTTTTATTTTCTTTTTTCTTTATTCCTCATCTGGCTTCGTGTCATTCCTCTGTTTTTTGACAGTGGACATCTGGTCAGTGGGCTGCATCATGGCTGAACTGCTCACAGGACGAACACTTTTCCCTGGTACAGACCGTATCCTTCCATGCTTGTGGGTTGCTGCTGCTCCTTGCAAAAAAGTATTTCTTTATTTTGGAGTCAACCTGTAGGTATCACACAGATCTACAGAAGGTTTTCTCCTTCCTGTTTGCTCTAAGAAGGATAGATATTGCATCATGATTGTTGCATGGTGCAGTGGATTATCCATTTTTGTATGCTGTTGGCTACTATACTTTGGGTATTTTGTGTGTTTTGGACCGTTTCACTGATGTAAACACTGACTAACTGCAGGGCCTTGGTCCTAATGGGGACAGTCCTCGTCCTAATGACACAGATCCTAATGTGTGAGGTGCTGATGAACTGAGGTTATGTTGAGGCACTAAGTGTCACAGGGGTGAGGGTGAACGGAAGCAGTGCAAATGTGTGTGAAACGCCGCCTACTGTTTCTGCATTGAATTCTCACATTTCTAATTGTGCAGAGTAATTAGGACAGACACGTGTTTGTGTCTCACCACATGCTTTATTCTCACTTCATTGTTTGAAAATTACCCTCGACATAAGCCAGTGACAAACAAACAAACAAACATGCACACTGGCAGCCCTGCAAAAAATAACTTTGGCATGCACTCATTCACACGCTCAGACACACACAGACACACGCACACACACACAAACATAATGCTGTGGGCCTTTTATAGATGACCAAACTGAGCCAGCTGTTGCACAACATGTTTGTGATTCCTGCCCTGAATAATCAGTGAAACATTTGATATGTGTTTAAGAACAATTGGTGAATCATGATGTCCTTAGGTGCATGGGTGTGTGTGTGTGTGTGCATGTTTCAGTTTGCACTGAAATTGTGTGTATAAATGGTTTTTGAATCTAGGTTATTATTATGGGAATGTGAATTCTCATTAGAGACTATTTTGATTTCCCTTTTCCTTCATTTGCAGGTGTTAGGAGTTTGTGTAGCTTTAAATAAATCATGTAAATGAGTCGCATTTGTATGTGCTGTAAGACTTGGAAAAACAAATTTGTCATTCAAAAAGTCTATTATAGATAGATAGATAGAAGAGCTTTATATCAGTAACTCTTCCACTCAGCAATTCATTTGCAAGGAATGAGGTCAGACCTTGCACATTTCATCAGATATCAGATATGTCAGATATGTAAAACCTGTTATACAGTACTATATATTTTTAGACACTAGTGTTAACATATAATTATGCTTTTTTTATTTTTTCATTTTTTACTTTTGCCTGAACACAGTGTCAGTGTCTAGCAGTACATTCATGAAAAGTCAGGGATTGTAAGGTCACAGAGTCTACGATGGAGCGATCGTCTAACGGTCATCACCTTTATATACACAGTGGAACATAGTTAGGCTGCAACCCAGGGACTAAAATGATGTTTTCAGGGTTTAACCTTTACTAGTTTTGTCTTGCTGACTCATCTAAACAACCAGTCACCTACTCACCAGCTAATAGTGCATCTATATACCGTGCCTCATCCATTTATATTGCATGCGTGCAATTTACATGCATGTATTCACTGCTGGCTTAGTGTCTTTCTCCTGAGAACAACAGGATCTGGATAGTAAGAGTTCAGAAGCACAACCACAGATTGGTTTGGAGAGACTTTCCTCAAGTACTGAAACCTCCAACATCGTGCTGTGGTGGATATTGAGTTTTCTTTCAGAGCAACAGCAACAAGATAAATGTTCGCTGTAGCTTTAGTTCATTAAGTAAAGAAAACAGTTGTTGGATGTAAAAAGGAGAGATTTGCATCACTGATAATCCAAACAGCAGCTGCAGCTGTTTGAATGGTGTCATTTAGTCAAAACTATAATTGACCCCCATGTGGGGTGTCCAGGTACTACACCAACAGGTATTGATACAAACACTAGTTGAACAATCCGCTCACTTTTGTATCTGTGTCCACTGAAAATCCCCAAAACCTCTTAACATGCACATTGTGTTTCCTTCATAAACCAAACTGCATATAAATATTTCTGTTGTTTTGTATTTGTGTTTTTCTCAGTGATCAACAGTGCATCACAGAGTATGACACTTTGAGTTGTTGATGCAGTATTCCATTTGCTTTTGTTTTTGAAGTGTCGTTAAAAACTCATTTAGTCGATAAGTCATCTTCCTCTGAAGGCACGTTCACTCCTCTCTCTTCATCTCCCACGCCCTCCATCCCACCAGTTTTCCTTCATGTGTATGTGGTAGACATTGATCAGTTGAAGCTTATAATGACGCTCGTCGGAACTCCGGGGCCAGAACTCTTGATGAAAATCTCGTCGGAGTCAGTGAGTGTCAAGTAACGTTGCACCCACATTTGTTGCACTGCCACTTCTGCCTGTGTTTGTGTTGCATCTGTGTTGTCCTGGCAAAGAGACGGAGGACTTCCACTCCTGAGTCCTAACGCTGCCTTCTCTATGCTGCTTTCTTTAAGGTGTGTGTTTCTTAAAGGTCCAGTGTGTAAGCTCTTAGGGAGGAAAGATCAATCTGTCACTGCAAGAGTTTGTGTAACAATCATCCAGGTTCCATTTACATCACACTTTAAGTACAGAAAATCTGAGTGTTTCCAGGGAAACGAGAAACGAAACATACAGTTTTTAAGGCTTATCTGGATCAGGTTGTGTGTTCTCAGGCAGTGATAGTTGTGTGGATGTGATGAAGTAAAATAAACTCAAATAAAAGCTAATGTGAAAGACAAACTGAAGAACAGGATATAGACAAAATAAAACAATGAATGAGATTCAGGTCAAAGAAGACAGAAAACAAAGGACCAAAACAAATCTAATAGTTCTAACATAGACTTGTATTTGGCTGCACTGTGGCTGGTTTGGTTTCCAAAACCTCAGAATAAGCCTTTAATATGCTTTTTTAAACAGAGGTTTTGTTTCCCACAGCCTGCCATCTTGCCCCGACATGTGCCACCAGTAGCAAAAACAGGCAAAACCAACCACAATGAGTCTGTTCTCTGCAATCACAGAAAAACAGCTCCACTCACAAAGCCAGGTGGAGCAAGGAAGAAAATGCCAGAGAATGTGGAGCCCTTTAATATCATTATAATTGTGTAATTAGCATTAAAAAACCTTTAGATTACAAATTCTGTCCCATTACAAAACATGCAATTTACATTCATTTCTTTAAAAAATGTGATCACACAACACATGTCTGATTCTTACACACTGGACCTTTTTCATGGCTTCATTTGAACATGGGCTTTAAATCTTTTGTTTTGCCTCTACCATGACTTCTAACTGTTGACTTAAAACTCCATACACCACAGAGAAGGAGGCCTATAGTGCTGAAATGTTGCTTTAGAATTTTAATCCGTCACGCACTACTTTATAGGAAAAGACAAAATAGTTAGCCGAGAAAATGTCGTCTGAGGGTATTTATCTTTACCCTCAGCAAGGTATTTTTAATGTCATAATTAATCAGGATTAATCATGGTTGTAATTCATCAGGATTAATCATAATTAACCAAGGTAAATTTACATTCCCAAATATAACAAAGACTTTTTTCTGTTGGAACAGAAAAATAATAATAGCAGCTAGTTGTACTGATGTACTTGATGCTCGTAGAACGTGTCGAGAGTTCACTGTCCTCAACAATATTAACCGGTTAACAGTCCCTCAAAATCCATTAGACAGCTGTCACGTCAGCTTACTGTAACTTCATTTACATTATTAATGCATTATTTTCAACGGCCCTGATAAAAATGTGAATTAAAACTTTGTAAATAAACTTAGTACGTCCAAAAATTAAAAATGACTTGCTCCACTTTAAAGCACCCAGTAAAGACATACAAAATGACATTTCCTGATGGAGGCCTATTGTTCCGTCTTTGTCGAAGCTCAGACATTCATCTCCTGCGTCCACACTCATTGTGTGACCCCCACACCCGTCCTTGTTTCCCCACATCTACACCCCACACCCTAACATAACTACCCATGATCTGTGACCTGCTGACCTCCATGTTGTTACCCCTTGACTCACAAACTGTAGATATAAACCAGCTGCAGCAGATAATGCGCCTGACGGGGACACCCCCGGCCTCCCTCATAAGCAGGATGCCCAGCCATGAGGTGAGACACGTACCCTTTACTTTCCCATGTGCCCCGGCTCTTCCCCCAGGTGGAACTGGAGCTGTGCTGCGATCAACGATCAACATTCCCCTCCTTCCTCTGCCCAGACCGATATCACAGAACAATAAGTCGAATTAGTATCCACCAGTGCTTTCTGCCTGTTAACGCTCTGCTCTCACTTTCTTATTCCTAGTTTCCTCTTAAACTCACACTGCTTACCACAGCAAGGCTTCCCAGAATGCTGTATATTCTGTGGGGTTGTACTGGCAACTCACTGTGATCTGAAAATGATGGCAAAGTGTTTGTTTATATGACTGGTTTGCAAGCACGAAGGATGTATACTAAAACTATGACTGCACTCTGAGCTTTCTAAAGGGAAGATGTTTTGATATGGTGGTTGACAGTTCTGTCTGTTCTTTTCCACAGGCACGGAACTACATAAATTCCCTCCCTCACATGCCGAAGAGGAACTTTGCTCACGTGTTTATTGGTGCCAATCCTCTGGGTAGGTTCCTTTTTCACAATCGTTTTCGAGCTTGAGCTTCTCTTTGCTCACTGACTCCCTCTAGTGTTATGAAAAAGCACTTTGTCACCGTGAACAGTTTCTTCACATAGGCGTGTACTTTAAACTGCTCTCTGCTTTCCATGCATGTTGGTTTCCTCTCTTACATTTTATTTCACTCTAACCTCTCTTCTTTGCTTGGTCCCAGCTGTGGATTTGCTGGAGAAAATGCTGGTTTTGGACACGGACAAGCGCATCACTGCCTCCGAGGCCCTCGCCCACCCCTACTTTGCCCAGTATCACGACCCCGAAGATGAGCCTGAAGCAGAGCCTTATGACCAGAGCTTTGAAAGCCGTGAGCTGGAAATCGAGGAGTGGAAGAGTGAGTTGCTGACTTGAGAAAATCCAAACTAGAGGCCATTTATTAAAAAATATAACCCAGCTGTGGTTTGTAACCTAACCCTAATGTAATAGAATGGCCATTTGTCCATGTGTTGTGTTGATGTTTGAATCTCGCTTCTGTTCATCCAGAGTTGACCTACGAGGAGGTCGTCAGCTTCATCCCGCCCTCATTTGATGTTGACGAGATGGAATCGTGAGGAAGACGCATCTTTTCCAAGAGACACTGTTGAAGGACTATCAGTCTCATGTGACTATCCACCACTATCATCGCACACACCTCACAAACAAACATCGTCATTCAAGTGCCTGCCGTCGTTCATGTCTGGGGGACATTGCTATATCAGGGATGAAAGTCTACATTCGGTTGATTCAGACCCCCCCCCCCCCCCCCACACCACCCCTTCCCCTCTCTCCTCTACCCGT